CTACTCCAGTCTAAGCAACCAGATTCTATCTTTTGAAACAACTGGTATACCCACTTCCATTTTTTTCCTCCCTCCAGTCTATTTTCCAGACTCCTGCCATGATGTTTTTCTAAAGGAAAATCTTATCAAATAACCTTGTTACTTATAACCCTTCAGAGCTGTGCCATTAGTATACAAGCCCCATGACTCTAATTTGACTCACAAGACCCTCTATGACATAGCTGCTGCCCACCTCTTTCAGCTCATCCCCTACCAGCTCTCTCTTTTTGCTCTAGTCCTCTGGTCTTCTATGGATTCTTCAAGCATAAGCCTGATATCCCTTATGTCTTAGTCTACAGTCATTCTGTTCTCTCTGCTAATAATATTCTTTCTTTTACTTCATGCGGTTGACTTCTGTTCACCTTAAGTCTCATTTAAAAGTTGCACCCTCAAGGAGAACACCTCAGACCCCTATAATGGATTATGTTTCCTTACTTTAAGCTTCTGTATTAGACTATGTTTAGTGACATTATTACTCCTACTCCCTTGCCTAAAAGTTTATAAGTCAGGGACCCTGTATTCCAAGTTCACCTCTGTATCCCCAGAACCTAGCACAATGATCAATATATATCAATGCCCATTAAGGATTACACTGGCTTTTTTGACATCAGGAAATAGATAAGGCCCTTCCTATTGGTACTGTACAGCATATTGCTTGCAAGCCTGCAGTTAAGAAGTTGAGAGGTAATCTCTAAGATTTTGTTGCTAGATTAAAATCTAATTAACTGAATCCCACATTTCTTATAAGAAATATGGAATAAAAATCACATAGGCAGAATTTTCTCCTATACAACTTTCTTGTTTCCCATGTTTTCTTTTTAAGTCCAGCTCAAATGTCACCTCCATGTGACACCTTCCTCCTCTTTCCCAGATAGATAGTTCCACCATTCATTCTGCTCCCCAAACATTAGCTTTGTGTTATTAAAATAAGAAGTGAAAATGGGTTTTGCTGCATTATTAAGGTTTATTACAGACAAGTGTAGTTAAGAAATGGACTCTCTGAGTACTCAATTTGTGGATGGGTTGCTTGCAGAATAAGAAAAAGTTACATTACCTTGTTCATCGAGGTATGGAATAGTTGGTTTTACCAACTAATTTCAATCTCGTGTTCTAATCTTAAAGCCATTTGCTGCAGTCTGGCTGGGCACAAATGCCGCAGTCTGGCTGGGCACACAATCACGAGCCACCACACAGCTTGTAGATTCAAACAGCAACTCTTTATTCCCGAACTCACACCAGCCGTCTACAATCACGTTCTGGGGAAATCCACGTTCTCTGCCCAAATCCACGTTCTCTGGGCTTCTATCTCCAAAATATACTGTCTGAATCCCGTGAGAACTCAAGGGGAACTCAGGCAGCAGGATACGCCCTATTCCCAGCAGGAATAATCTTAAACCTTAAACCTGGAACCTAAACTGGGAACGCCCTAAACAGGATTATCTTAAAACCAGGAACACCCTAATCTGCCTTGGTCCTTGAGCAAGGTCACCTACATTCAATGTCGCTGCAACATGTCAGCAACATGGGGTACGCTGGCAAGGAAATTGTCATACCTACTTGGCTAATGGCTCCCAGCAGCCATTAAGTCAAGTAATCCAATCAAAAATGGGCAAAAGACCTGAATGGACATTTCTCCCAAGAAAACATACAATGGCCCTTAAACACAAGAAAAATGCTCCATTCATTAGCCATCAAAAGAAAATGCAAATCAAAATCACAAGATACCCCTTCTCATAAGGATGGCTATAACTTTAAAAAATGAATAGTACGTACTGTAGAGTATATGGAGAAATTAAAACTCTCTTACACTGCTGGTACAATATGAAATGATATAATTATCTTGAAAAGCAGTCTGAGAGTTCCACAAATTTAAATATACAATTACCATATGTCTTAGTTCAAGTCGCTACAATAAATTGCCATAGACTGTGTGGATTATAAACAACATAAATAAATTTCTCACAGTTCTGGAGGCTGGAGGTTCAAGATCTGAGTGCCAGCATGGTCAGGTTTGGGTGAGGGCTCTCTCCAAGGTTGTAGACTTTTCAAGCTAGCTAGCCATTCTTGCCTCTTTTAAGGACACTAATACCATTCATGAGGCTCTACTCTAATTAGACCCCAAAGGTCTAATTAGATCCCAAAGGCCCCACCTCCAAGTACCATCACATTGGGATTAGAGTTTCAACATATAGAATTCTGGAGACACAAATTTTCCATCCATTGTACCATATGTCTCAGCAATTCCTCTCTTAAGTGTATAACCAAGACAAATGAAATCTATTTCCACAGAAAAATGTATACCTACACTCATAGTAACATTACTCATAATGGCCAAAGCTGGAAACCACCCAAATATCCATCAAATGACAATTGATAAACAATATATGTTATTTCTATTCAGTGGAATATTATTTAGCAATAAAAGGAGCAAATTCTTATTATGTACTACAACACAAACTTTCAAAGTTCCCTTCAAAACATGTTTCATTAAAGAAATTAAGCACAAAAACCCCCACATGTTGTATGATTTTGCTTATCTGAAATGTTCAAAATAGAAAAATCCAGAGATAAAAAGTAGATTTTTGGTTATCAAGGGATGGCAGGACAGGGGGAATTAGAATTGGTTCTTGTTGAAGTAATGTAAATGTACTGGAATTAAATAGTACTGGTGGATGTATAACATAGTAAGAATACTAAAATTCACTGAAGCATACATTTTCAAATGGCAAATTTTATATCCCAATTTTTTAAATGGTAAAATTAAAAAAATCTTAAGGACTTCATAGTCCTTAGCCTAGTACTCATTTACTCAGCTCACATTCCTTGGTTCTTCTTTGGACATAGTTATCTGCAGATTGTAGGTCAAGATTGTAGTGTCCCTTGTAGAATTGTAATACACAGATTAGATTGTGACAGATGGCTGCATTATTTCTCAGTCAAAGCTCTTTGGCAGGGTTGGGGGATAGAGCTCAGTGACAGAATACTTACCTGGCATGGTGCAAGGCCTTGTGTTCTATCCCCACCACTGAAAAAAATAAAATAAAGCAACTCTTTCTAAAAGCATTGTAATGATACCTACTATGGTGCCCTATATTGTAGTGCACAACACCACAAACATAAGAGAGCAAGCCTAGCTCCCTTTCTCATTGCTACATTCCATGTGCCTAAGTCAATGCTTAGAAAAAAGCAAATATTTAATGGGTGTTTATTTTAAAGTAAGAGTACTTGCTGGAAGAAAAATTTGCCTTCCAGGTAATATTTGGCAATGTCTGGAGACATCTTTGATTGTCAAAACTGGAAGGTATATGCTATTGACACCTATAGATAGAGAACAGGGATGCTGCTTAATGACCTACAATGCACAGGACAGCTCCCAACAATGAAGAATTATCTGGCCCAAAATAACAGTCATGTAAAATGTTGAGAAACTGTATGCTAAGTGGTTGAGTGAATGATTTATGAGTTCCATTTAAAAACTTTTAAAAGTTCCCTTCAAAAAGAAGTAAATAATAAAGTGAACCTTATAATTTGTGCTGTCAGTTAATAAAATATCCCAAACCATATCTTTGTAGCTCTTAACTGAGAAACTAATTTGTAGGAAAGGCAGACTATGAGGGAATTCTATAAGCTTGTTTAACTGTCTGACCATGACTAAGATATTATTAACTGGCATAAAAGTCCTGTCACAGAAAGCACATGGTAAAATGTACATTCCTTATCTGATTAAAGAACCCAGGAAACATTTTACAGTGTTTTAATATTTCTGAGAAATATCAAATATAGCCAGCCCTCCACAAAATATGTAATGGAAGTCTTCTTTTCTAGTCTTGATAGCAACCCTGCCCAATGCCAAGACAGTTAAATAGGTAAGTGTGCAAGGAACTTCCTCACTGGTTACACTACCAGGGGACAGGGAGCTCACTCTTTCAGGGCTCTAAATCAGGGATCAGAAACTACAATCTGCAGACCAAGGCAGAGTGGCCCCATTTTTACACAACTCATGAGCTAAGACCAGTTTTCATATTTTAAATGGTTGATGATGAATCAAAAGAATACTATGTATGTATGACACATGAAAACCATGTTAAATTTGAACATCAGTGTCCATAAATGAAATGTTATTGGAACAGTTATGCCCATCTGTTTACTATTGCCTATAGCTGCTTTTCCTCCTGGACAGGGACTTCAAGGCCCACAAAACCTAAAATATTGACCATCTGGCCAATAAACAGTAAACATTTGATGACTTCTCCTCCATAGTTAAAGAGTTTAGCAAATTGTACTTCCAGGAGGCCATGTGGGATGAGAACAAACCCTCGGCTAGAGTCCCCAACAGCTGGCTCTACTGGGGATCTACTCAAATGGGCAGGAGTTTCTGCCTCTGTAACATGAGAGGGCTTAATGGAAAAATCTCTAGCTCTTAACTGTCCATAGTGTGCAGTGATTCCAGTCTGTTCAGGAGTTCCCAGGTGGCCAATGAGGTAAAAGTGCTGAGCTCTCGTATGCACTAAAGCCACACAGCCAGTGAGTCACATTATCACACTCAGCACTGAAACAGCCCCAGAACTGGATAGCCACTGTGCCCATACAGAACAAATTTGAGATGTGGCACTCTACCAGGTTAAAAAAACATACATTTTTGGGTCACTCTACCAGGTTCAAAAACATACATTTGGGGTCATTTTCATGTGCCCTAGCTTTAAAGATTATGTAACACTGGGGAAGAAGGAAACAGACAAAACTATTGGAGAAGTCTGGTGAGGGATGATAGCAGAGGCTGCCAACCCCAAAATTCAGGTTTTCAAAGTGTAATTTAGCACTTCCTCATGTCTTTTGAAATGAACCAGAAAAAAAAAGAAATGAACCAGGTTCTTGACATTTCTCCTTCCTTTAGGAGCAGGGAAGAGTTTCTGTTGCCCTTTCTGGCTTTTCAATACTAACATGTGGCTCTTTATCCACAGTCCAAGGGATCATGGGTTGTCAACATTGGCACGCCAGCCTGGGGTCTGTCACTATGGAACTAAACTGGCCTGCTGCTATGGCTGGAAAAGGAACAGCCAAGGAGTCTGTGAAGGTAAATTTTATAAAATCTCAGCTCACACTACACTCAGATCAGTATCCTTAGGTTTTTAATCTGTGATACCACAGGCTGACACAAAATTGCCAGTGAATTCCCCAGGGTAGGAACATGGATAACTACCAATACTCAAAGTCCCCAGTGAGATCTCTTCCCATCTGGGATGTGGCCAATATTGTCACACTAGACATGTTTATCTTAGGAGACTCTCTGGTCAATTATTTTTGCTACTATCTTAGTAAGTATAACTGGGTTGTTTATTTCTGTTTTAGTTTTGTTTAATGTGGAGAAACTGAGATGGGCAAAAACAGGCCAATTGATTTCTTCTTCTAATTACAAATTTTTCCAACTGAATTCTAATGAAATAAATGTTTTAAATATTAACCACTCAATCAGTAGGTTTTAGCCACAGAAAAGTAAACCCTTTACCTTATAGACTTGTTACTTACATTTTTAAATTTTATAAGGCTAGTTTCTAAACAACTGCAATAAATACATGCATATATGCAACAATTCTAAGTATTTTTCTGATACTCTTATACAAATTGAAAACTAAACCATAATTTGCCTCACACATTGTTTCAAAAACAACATGTTAAGAACTCTGAGAGAAGCCTTTGATAATTTCAAGAGGTTTGGGGAGGACAGAGACAATCACAGAGTTTTGTCTTGTTCTGTATTTTACATGACTTGCCACAAAGACTATGAGTTGCAGTATAGAGGGATCAAATCTATATACCTCCTAGCTAACTTTCTGAACAGGGATGCAGGGTAAGAATCTGGTCTTACCATCCCTGAGCAGGTGGAAAATGCCTGAGCCTCAGTCCTTCATCTGCTAAGTGGGATAATAACATGGCTGTATGCCCGGTAAAAGCATTAAAATGTTAGCTATTTTTAGGAATAACAATGCTACCCTCTTCTTGCTGGTCTGTCCATGCACCAATCTCCTCCTCTCTAGCTGTTGCAAAAATATATAGATTGACTATAGGTGAGGGAAGGACTTGATAATATCTATCCATGAAACAATGGAGGACAATGGTAGTGCTCCCACATGTTCTATATTATATAAAACCTTCCATCATTGTGGTTCCCATGGGATGAGATGGCAAGAGCATGAAAATGATAGAAAAATGATCATCATTGCCTACTCAGAAAAAAGAAGCTAGAACATACTGTGGGACCTGTGTCAATTAAAAGGGTGGATAGATCCTCACTTTGGTTGGTTTATATTGTCATGATCAAGGATATTGTGAACTAGACTAACATGGGTGATCTTGGGCAAGGTAGGTAAGCTCACTAAGGCTTCATTTTCTCCTCTGCAACATGGAGAGAGTAGTACCTGCCTCAGAGGATACAAAGAGTAAGCATTAAAAGGTTTGCTTATTACCTGGTACACATGGAATATACCTCATAAATTACTATCGACTTCTGTCTATTAAAGTACCCATGATGAGAAGATTAAATGCAGCTTTATTCTTTTTCTAGACACAACATAACACATTTTTATTTGAAGTCAGTCAGGTAGAAAGGGCAAAAACCATGTGACACACATGATTTGGAATCTTTCCTACAGTTGCATGAACCTCAGAACTTACTGCCATAAAACTTGTAAGACACAGCACATCAGTGGTGAATAAATTAGAGAAAGCTTTAGCATTCTGGAAGGGCTTTGCTTTAACTGGTTCAGAGCAGTTTGTCCACAATGTGCACAGACAATCACATTCTCAATGCTTTAGTGGACTCTATACCACAGGAATGAAAGAATTTAAACCACGGTGTGCAAAGATCAAGCACAGAAGATTTAAGCAAAATGTTCAACATACAAATATTGCAAGCTGAAAAGATTGTTGGTACCTTAACTGCCCCAGTCAAATGTCTGAGTTTTAAATTGCCATGATTTCTTTCTATTTTTTATAGTTGTAGAAGGACAACATGCCTTTATTTTATTTAATTTTTTTTATGTGGTGCTGAGAATCAAACCCAGTGCCTCACACATGCTAGGCAAGTGCTCTGCTGCTGAGCTGCAGCCCCAGCCCAGCAATGATATTTTTACCTAAAAATCTGTATCATATTTTTTTTTCCAATTTGCATGGTTCCTCTTGATGGTAAAGCTGTATGCTCCTAGAAGCACAAAATAACACAGGAAGTTAGTCCTCCATTGATGGGTTTCTAATTTCTAAGCCAGAGTTTGGGCTGCACAGTTAAAAGAGCACACATCAGTCTGCCCAAACAAGCAGAGTCAGACCCTAGTTCCAATCTGCACAGGCCTTCTCCTCCATCTATTTGTTTTCCCTTTGTTTCTCTCAAACCCTATCTCCATGCATGCTGGAGCTTCCCAGCTCTTGGCCTCTGGCCTGTCTAAATCTGCTCCCAGGGGAGGGTCTGAGATCAACTACATATCATTAACCTTAAAATATATGTCACTGTGGAGAGATGGAATAAAGAGTTGTTCATAAACAAATCCCTAATGAAAAGCTGCAGATGGAGGAGTTTTGGGGAGAACTGAACAAGAGAGTTTCACTTTGTGTAAAGCATGCTTCAATTTCTGGCCATTTCAGACATAAACTAAGTTTCCCTTTGCTGTGTGGATTGGCCATTCAAATCACAAATCCGCAGTTACTGTAAATTGAAAACATCTTTCTGAAGCTTTGACCTTAGAGCAAGGGTATTATTCACCATTCCTCCTATGTGCTATTTGGCATTTGTCCTGGACTTTCCTGTCTGGATCACATTGGAAATCAGTTTCCAGGGAACAATCAGAGGTCTTCAGGGCTTAAAAAAATAAAAGATTTATTTTTCTAACATCTGAACTTAAAGCTGCATCACCAAGTACATATCCATAACAAAATAGACACTGGAAATTAAAATCTCTCTCTTTTGACTGTAAAAGTAGAAAAACTTTGCTGGGGAAGCATTGTTCCCCTATCTTCTCAATTATTTGTTCAAGGCTATAAAATGTTCTCCTGTTAAAAGGTCTACACCTATGACTTCATTCGTTATTCAAAAATATTTGCATGTGTAGCATGTTCACAGCACTATATCAAATGCTGTAGGAGAAACAACAATGAATGATTATTAAGTCCCTGTCCTGAAGGCACTTAAAAATCAAGTAATAGACAGAAATTAAGGACAAAGTCAAATAATGCCTAATTTTTTAATAAAACAAAGACAAATGAATTGCACAGGTGATGCCTGCCAAACTTCCATGGAGTTCTAAAAGTTAGATTGAAGTTCTCATATGGCTGGAGAAATTTGTGAAGGCTTCTGGAAGTAGTGACCTTTGAAGGATAGGGAAGATTGAAGGGCCCACCAGGGGGGGTGACAGTGGTAGAAAGGGGCAGAAAGCAAATGGTATACAATCTAGTTTGGCCACAGTGATGCTTACATCTAAACTAAGACTGAAAAAAAGATGCATGACAGATCATGGTAGATTTTTGTATAAGTATCCCATTGCTGGGTGTTCTGAGGAGAAATCTATAGGTGAGTAAGAGAGCAGGGGAAGAAGTTAGGTAGAGATGTGCTTTTCAAGAGAATTCTAGCTTTTTACTGATCTCACAGGGAGCTCCAGAGTATTGATTGAACCAGGGGATTTTGCTGCCAAGAAAATAAGCTGTTAGACCCCTACATTGGTGAGGCACTAATATCAGATCATCATGGGGAAAGCAAGGAGAGAGAGTCCTACATGATGTCCCAGGTGTCTGCAGGCAATGTGGTCTCCATTACCTGGGTGAATATTTGTTCAGTTAATGAATTGGTAGTAGAATGATTGATTGGGTTGGGGACAAAAAAAAAACAGAAGAAGTCTGAGATTTGGGTCTAGGTAACTAGGAAAATGGTGACATTAATAAAATATAGGGTCTCTGGTTAAAGATTCTGGGATCTTTAGGAACAGGCTTGCTTAGAGGTAGACCTACTATGAGCTGGGGAATGAGTGGGCAGAGAAGTAAGTAACATTCACGGGCAATTGCTGAGTAATTCTTTCATACCAAGGCTATTTCCTGAGCTCCTAGTAGAATTTGATCATTCAAAAGAAAAACAGGAAAGAAAATATGAAGGAGATGGGATGGGAATAGGCCAGAGTCAAAAGGGAAGGAACCTTGGCACTTGCCCCAGGATTCCTGTGGGGTCTCTTCCAGTGCAAATATTACTCTTCTTTTATTAAATGTTTTGTGTTGACATATAAAACTATGGCTATGGTCCTGGTGACTTTATGTTTCTTTGAATACGACTGGAGACATGGCAGCTGCTAAGCAAATGAGCACAATAAATTTGCATTTGTCAGATGGTAGCTTTGAGGGTTGATCTTGATCACAAGGAAACTCTGTCCAGTATCTGAGAGGTAAAAACAAATGAGAGAGGGGGCAGATCACCCTGTATGTGTCCCCAAGAAGTTTTCTGCCAAGCAGAAGGTAACTGAATTTGACATACACACATTTCACCGTGTCAGCTTCTGTTATGTTATGGTCAGGACATCTTTTTCCTTCACAGCTACATGTGAACCAGGATGCAAGTTTGGTGAATGTGTGGGACCAAACAAATGTAGATGCTTTCCAGGATACACCGGGAAAACCTGCAGCCAAGGTCAGTAAAACAACCCAAGATTGTAGTACAAATTCCATCAGCAGTGGGGTTGCAATGAAATATGGTACATAGAATTTCTTAGGTTATTTTAGTTGAATCTTTAAATGAATGTGATTTCAGGATGAGATTCTTCAGCCAATCATTTCTCCTCGATAAATGTAAAACTTCTGATATCTTTGTCAAGTACCCAATAAAATGCTTTTTTAAAATACAGAATTTTATTATGTTTTTAAACTACCTGAGTAATGTTTGTTTTTTATTCTTAAGAACTCCAACAATGCAAAAGGTCGTAAATTAAAAATTAAGAGTCTCTACCCATAATCCTTATTATAACCATAGTTAACAGTTTGATCTAGTTCCTCAGAGTCCTTTGCTAACTGCAAAAATGCAAGTATTTCTCATGGGCATCTTTACCTGTCAGCATTTGCAAAGCTACTTTATACTTGTTAAGGCCCTATCCCAGTACTTAAAGTGAATATTTTTATCATCTATGAAATAAATGCTTCATTTAACCATTATTACTTACATTGTATCCAATTTTCTTCATTGCAAACATTGCTAAACCAAACATCACTTTACTACATCCTTGCACTTTTGAGTATTTGTGTCAGCTAAGTGTCTAGATGGAATTGTTGAACTAAATAGTATACATATTTTTATTGTAATAGAGACATTTTGAAAAGACAATCTGTGATGTTTGTGTTTGGCTGTTTGTCTGAAGACATGAAGGTGTTTATTTATAATATCTAGAAAAATGGTCCTCAACTTGGGTGATTTTGCCCTTCAGGAAGAGTTGCCAGATAAAATACAGATGCCCACTTAAAATTAAATTTCAGATAAACAGCAAATAATTTTATAGTACATGTATGTTCCAAATATTGTATGGGATATACATATACTAAAAAAGTGTTACTCGGGTTGGGGATGTGGCTCAAGCGGTAGCGTATTCGCCGGGCATCTGCAGGGTACTGGGTTCGATCCTCAACACCACATAAAAATAAAATAAAGATATTGTGTCCACCGAAAACTAAAAAATAAATATTAAAAAAGTGTTACTCATTTACCTGCAATTCAAATTCAACTGAAAATCATGTATTTTTATTTACCAAATCTGGGAGCCTTACCCCAGGGGATATCTGGCAGTTTTTAAAGATATTTGGAGGGATATTTCCAGCATCTTCCTCACAGACCCTCTGTTTCAAAAGGGGGAATTGAAAAATTATGATTGCACATAATGAGAAATCCATACCTGCTAGTTTTCAAGTCCCAATAAAATATTAACATTGAGGGAGTGATCCAATTAGTTCAAGTTTTGGAGCTGTCATTCATACAAGTGAGTCGAGAGCAGGGATGCTGCTAAACATCCTACAATGCACAGGATAGCTCCCACATCAAAGAGTGAGCAGATGGAAATGTTAATAGTGCTGATGGTGAGAAATCTATGGTGAAGAAAAATGCCTAATTGGAGCAAGGGATCTCCTAATTGGAGCAGACCAAGAGGTTTCACCTCAATGATTTTGTCACCTAGGAGACACTGGCAATGTCTGGAAACAGTTTTGGTTGTCACAAGTGGGTGAGGGGTGCTACTGATATCTACTGGATGGATCCTAGGGATGCTACTAAATGTCCTGCAATACATCAAACAATGATCTGGCATGTCAACAGAGGTTAAGAAACCCTGGCATGAAGAAACAAGCTATAATTATGAAAGTGTCCCCTGTCCTATAACAAAGATCAGCAAATCAAGTTTAGTTGCCCTTAAGAAAAAAAAAGAGTACATGTATATAATGGCATAACTTGGCATGAACATACTTTATATACAGAGATACAAAAAAATGTGCTCTATATGTGTAATAAGGATTGTAATGCAGTCGTGTTGTCGTGTATTTATTTAAAAAAAAAAGAAAGAAAGAAAGGCTGCCAAGGTTCTAGAAGGGAGGGTGACATTTCAGCAACAGGCACACTCTACTCTACCATTCCGAACCCTAGCTGCTTAACCCAGAGGTTAGCTATATACACTGAAGTAGCCTTTTTTGAGCTGCCAGCCATGCAGCCTCAGAGATGAATCTCTGAATCTCTTTAAGTCCTACCACCAACATGGAGGCTAGAGGCCTGAAGGTGCTCCTTAGAACTGCTTGAGAGAGGTGCATCAAGAATCATGTGCTCATGAGTGATAATTCAGCTGTGTCCCTTACCAGAGGCTTCATACCAGAAAATTTGCTTTTCCATATGTTTTAGATTTTGTACCAAGAGACTTTTTCAAGAGATTTGGAATTCAGACCATATTTTTCATGCTAAATTTCAAGTCCTAGTAAAATATTAACATGGAGGGAGTGATCCAATTGGCTCCAGTTTGTGGGCTGTCTTTTCCCTACAGCCTCCCTGCTCAAGTAATCCTGATCAAAGTCCACATATATCCATTTGTGGTGGCAGGCTTCAGCCCTTGACTGATGTCTTTCCCAAAAATGTTCCTTCCAAGAGACAAGTGAGTCACCTCTGAGTTAGGGCCAAATAATGGGGTATTCCTGGGTTTTCTATTATGTCCAATCAGCTTTTTCCAGATACCCCTTTGGAAGCCATTAGGATCCATTAGGGAGATGGCAGGGTTGAAGGGTTGGGCAATGTAGAAGGAAGTTTCAAATGTTCAGCTAGGCTGTTGGGAAATCCCCATATAGGGATCTTTTCAGAAACAAAACAATCATTTCTATCTTTTCCAGGGCACATTTTGACCAATGCCATGCAGAATTTTTGTCTTATACAGAACTTAGTTGTTTCCTTCTTTCTGTATCTTCCTTGGGGGAGTTAAGACATTTCCAAAGAGAAGATCCTCTACTAATGATTCCTTTTAAAGATTTATTTTCTTTCCATATTGTTTTTTATTTTAATAAAGATAGTACCTATTTTCTTTTTTAATATTTAGTTTTTAGTTGTAGTTGGACACAATATCTTTATTTATTTTTATTTATTTTTATGTGGTGCTGAGGATTGAACCCAGGGCCTCGCATGTGCTAGGCGAGCGCTAAACCGCTGAGCCACATCCCCAGCCCCCCAAAATAGTACCTATTCTTAATGGTTAAACTATTTTTTAGAAAACATTGGAGAGCACTAAGAAAGAAGACACCTTTAATGTTAGGGAATGACAACCATGGCTAGTATTTATAGCATATCCTCCTGGGTTTTTTTTTCTTTTTTACACTTTTTCTTTTTTATCTTTTTACAAATTTGGAGTCAAAGTATGCACAGAGCTTTGTAAACTTCTCTTATCACTTAACAACATCCTGTGAACATCTTTACATGGGATTAAACATTGTCTTCTGACCTTACCATCAACAACTTCCTGACAAGAATCCCTCTAGAAGCTGTGTGAACCAAAGCAATTTGGTCAGTCTGGAGCCACCCAAAATAATAATAATTGAAATGAGGCTGTGCTGTCAGCATCTGTCATAGGTTGCCTGGGAAAGCATGAAAGGCAGAAATATCTAAATTGTATATTTCTAACTTTTTATTCAAGTAGTATACACAGAATTGTGCATATACCCAAGATGTATAACTCAATACATCATCTTCATAAACACCCAGATCAAAAAACAGAAAGTTAACAGCCCCACCAGAAGGACTTTCATGCCCCATCCAGTCACTTACATTACACCCCAACAAAACCATATCTTGGCCTCATCTATCACAGTTTAGTGCATCTATTTAATTTTTGCCAAAAATGGAATTATACAGTATGTATGTATGTATCCAGATTCTTCCACTCAATATCATGTTTGTGAGACTCATGCATCATTGCCTGATGTTCTCATTTCTTCAGTCTCGTTGCTATATAGTATTCATTACATGAATATACAAATCATTTATCCTTCTGTTGGGAAATGTTTTGGTTAATTCCAGTTTGGGATATTAACATTAGTGCTTTATAATAATCTTTTATTTTTTGGTGCTGAGTATCAAACCCATGGCTGTGTAAATGGTAGGCAAGCTCTCTAGCAGTGAGCCATACACCACCCCAACACTAGTGCTATTATGATCATTTTAGTACATTTTTTTTTTTTTTGGAGAGCACAGATCCACATTTCTGTGGGTTTTACATCCAGGACTGTAATTGCTAGATCATGGATGTAGTTTGTTTACATCTAACTTTAGTACATTCTGCCAGTTTTTCTAAGGGCTTTAACCAATTTACATTCCTTCCAATGGTGAATGGTCTTTCCATTTGACCCACATCCTCACCAAGCCTTGAAAACAGAATTTTATAGTGAGAGAAGTAAGTGGTGGAATACAGGGTAGCCAACCAATTGTTCTCCCCAAGATTGGCATCAAGTACTCCCCACCTGGATGTTTCCTGCTTCAGGTAACCTTTCTCCATTTTCTAATTGCCCTTACAGATGTGAATGAATGTGGAGGGAAGCCCCGACCATGTCAGCACAGATGTGTGAATACACACGGCAGCTACAAGTGCTTCTGCCTCAGTGGCCACATGCTCATGCCAGATGCTACTTGTGCAAGTAAGTCTGAGCAGCCAGGCTATTCTCAATAAGTGTTTGAGGCTTGGCTCTTGATATTTAATGTTTTGGAAAAGGCTGACTTGAGTGATTTAAAAAAATTCTAATATCGCCCTAAGCTAAAACGTCTTTGGGCACTTATTTCTTTATAAAAATTATGACCAAAAAAATCATGACATGAAATTCACCATTTTAACCATTTTTGAAGTATACAATTCGATGGGCTTCAGTATCTTCACAATGCTATACAACCACCACCACTATCATGTTTCAGAAAATCTTTGTCACCCCAAAAGGAAACCTTAGCCATTAGTAGTCACTCCCCACTCTCCCTCCTCACAGCCCTTGGCAGCAGCTTATCTGCTTTCTGTCTCTATGGATTTGCCTCTTCTGGTCATTTACTTTATAAATAAAAAGACTAACTGGGGGGAACAATAAATTATATAACTATGTATGTATCTATATATATGCAGGGGTGGATTGGGTTTCATCACAAAGCTAAGCATGTTAAACAAAATGAGCATATTGTTTTAGGGAGGGGATAAATTTACATGCCATCTCAGGACATCAATCCTTCCCACCAGCTACCTTTCTCACGCTCCTTGTCCAACACCCAAAGATTAGTGGCTCTCTTTGGAAAAACATTTCTGACTCACATTCCTGAAAAGAAAAGCCCTTCTGTGATAAAGAAAACTCATGTCCTGTGGGAGGGTAGGAATCTATATCCATTCACTTATTGAGAGGAAAAAGCTTTTTGGGTTTTAAGTTGCAGCTGAAAGGCAAACCCATCCTCCCTGCCTACCTTCCATCCTCCTCTCCTCTCTCCCCCTCTCTCTTTCCTCCACTCTGTAGACCCTAGCAAACCTGGAGCCCATGCCTTCAGTCAGCTTCCTATGGTTGCAGTCACCTGGACTCCCCGCCTCCCCCCATCACCATCCTTGGCTTTCCCAAGGTTATAAAATCTTGCCTACTACACAGATCGCTGCCTCTTGGCTCCTCTTTGTCCTGTCCCACTTTGGCAAAGTGCCCCCACACCAACAGTCACTCAGATCCTCCTGTAGGAAGCAAGCTTAAGAGATAAACCAGTCATTTGAAGTGTCTTTTAAAAAGAATCATTATTATAAATTAAACAGAAACCCACATGAAACAAATACATACTTTAATGAATTCTTATAAGAAGACACAGGCATATATCTTTTTTAAAAATTTTAAGTGATCACTATAAAAGCCTAGATAGTGGTCCCATTTGGGGAGGGCTGAGGGGAGGAGGTTCTGGCAAAGTTCTATTTGGTTCTTATTTTTAAAAGATATATGCTAATGGATGTTTCTGAAACATTCCACAAGAGGTCTATCAGTGCCAAAATATATCTTTCCTTCAAAGGAAAGGTAGAATTGTGATAATTTTGAAGATTAAGTTTAAAAGAAGATGACTAAAGAGAAAAAGAAGAAACAAAAATGAGTAATAAAAAATCAGTAGGTATCTATTGCATTACCTCTTTCCATGTACCCTCTTTCTATTTCTGTATATCTAGGAACTACCTGTACCTCCCTGTTTATAGCTTAAGGTATCCAGGTAGCTGCAGACCTCTCTCCTGGATGCTGGTTTTATTCCACCTGGTCTCTTACAGTCTCTCTTGTCCTGGGTGATTGGCATTTTGTGGAGATGGGTGAATGGAAGGAGTATACTCACTGTACTCCCCTGTTGTAGACATTAGTATGAATTAACCCCATGCATTCATGATCCATATAAACGACCCCTATTAGGTAAGTGCATTTTGTGACATAAATTATTTTTAGTGACAAATGACAGAAAAATCCAAAGAAATTATCTAAGTCACTAAAAAAGTTAGAGGCAAGCATTCCAGAACTGCTCAAGGAGGACTCAGTCTCTGCCATCCTCAGAGCATTAATCTTATTCTCATGCTGTGACCTCATAGTGACAATATAGTTCCCTCAGCCCCAGATATCATTGAAGGTAGGCAAAACTAAGGGGATAGAGGTGATGCCAAAGAACCAATACTTCTTTCATGTTTGTCTCATTTATCATGAGACAACATCTTTACCAGGAGCCCCACTGTCTCCAGTGAATTTATCTTTATATTTCTTTGGCCACACTGATTCACATGACCATTCCTTGCTGCAAAGGAAGCTGGGAAAAAGACAAGTATCTGGCTTTCCAGCCTTAGTGGTGAGAATGGCAAAAGAAAAGGTCATTCAGAATGGCTTTCTGGCAGCTGATCAGCTGTATCTCACACATGTTTTAATATAGGTACCTGAAAGACCAAGTCTTATGATTCAAATGACTCTCATTAAGGCTATAAATGCATGGGAGATCTATGTTAACAGTGACTTTTCACCCTATACAGACCAACTAAATGACAAAAGAAGTGACAGGAGCACACATAGGAGGAGAGAGAGATGTAGTATGAGGGCTGTATGCCCTACCTACATTCAAGTTCAATGTGTTGGCTAACAAAACAGACCATAGTTGGGATCCAGCCCAGGGGCCACCAAGAGACCACCTTCGCCCAGATTCCTTCTGGCTCTACATTTGGGACCCATATAATGAAATTTGCCCTACAATGCCAATCTACATGGTATACTTAATGTCTCAGAATTTGAAAATAGTTTCTCTATCAGCATGTTTTATTATTTCAAGAGAGTCAGGCTCATCCTTTTCTACTTTTTCAGACTCTAGGACATGTGCCCGGACAAACTGTCAGTATGGCTGTGAAGACACAGAGGAAGGGCCACGGTGCCTGTGTCCATCCTCAGGTCTCCACCTGGCTTCAAATGGAAGAGTCTGTCTAGGTAGAACATCAGGAATTGTCTCTACTTCTACTCGTCACCCCTTGGCCCCCTAAACCCACTTTTTCATTTATCACAATCAGCTTATTGACTTGACATTGCAAGCTTCTAAAAGTACAGATATATGTCCATTTCTGAAATGGTGTTTTTAGCCATTTATACTTCAAACATACTTTGGGATGCTAGAAAGAACATCTCTCTAGTATTCTGGTTGCCTAGTGCCATAATAGGAAAAGGATAAAGGTAATATTATGTTAGTACATTCACCCTGCATATTTCACTTCAATTACCATAGGATAGAAACTCCCCTACTCATATGTTGTCATTCAGTGAGTAACATCCCAAAGGCCACTGGGCTTTGTTCCAAGTTCTACCTAATATTTTCCTGGAAAAAAAGTATTTTTTGCTATAACATTCACAAAGAAAGAACATGTCTTCTACATTATATAAGTTAGCAGATAACCAACTTCACATTGTCTTTAAAACTTGCTCTGAATTATAGAAACTAAAATATCCCATATTTTTTTCTGATCAGAGAAAATGAGCAGATTAAATCAATATTAATCAAGGATTGATTAAATTTAAAGATATGGATGAAGGATGCTTATCCATAACTTTGAATTTAATTTAATCCATACATAAGAACTTTGGTGTCCTGCTCTCTCCTTCTCTTATTTTGTATCGTAATTTGGGGACAGAAGCTGACTGAGCAGTCCATTTGGGAGGTGATGCCATGAAACATTGGTTGAAGAGTAGAAAAATGGCCAAGGGAAAGGAAGGTACCAGTGTCAGGTGAATTTCATGAACAGGTTAAATAAGATATGGGCACCTCTGGGAGACTGGGGGAAGCTGCCTCTGAATTTCCTCTCTAGAGCAAGAGTACTGGGTATTTTTTCATCAATTTCTGCCCCTTTTTGATGGGACATTGCTCTGGGACATCATTCCCCAGTATTCCCAGCCTGGCCCAAGTGAGGGTCTGAACAGAACATCACAGGTCCAGAAAGCAATAAATAGGAGGTATGGAAACTTTAAAAGCTGAAGGGCTATGTATTTAATACTCAAGGGGACCCTCAATGATGGAAGCCATACTCTATTTATTCTGTGCTTTGGTTTCTTAGTGGATTTCAATTATGCTAAATCACCAAATTGTATATACTCATAAAACTTCATTGTATTGTACCAAATAGACATAATAGTTATAATTAAGTGAGCACATAGCCTTAATAAGGGATATAAAACCAAATCAGAATGTTGAAATAGTTCTTAATCTCTTTGATTTAAATAAGCAAATAGCAAGATGATTTAAGAACCTTAATTCTTCAATGCAATAGAAATATGGTTCAGTTAAGGAAATGAATGTTTATTTGTCCCAAATGTATATAACTTGAAAACTGAATTTAGTAAACTCAAACAGCCAAATATGTCCTATATCAGTTAAGCACTTTAAAGTACATATACATAGGAATTAAAATTGTGTCTTCTCTTTAAGATTTAATTAGGTTCACAGAGTTAGTACTCACTGGTATAGTAATATATACATGACAAGGCTAAATCTTGGCCACAATAAATCCAAACTTCTACCCACTTCTTTGATTTGTTGAGTGCCATTTTAATTGGAAGAGAAAGCTATGTGTATGAAAGTGATCACTGAAAAGAGATTGTGGTCCATCTAACACACATTTGTTAGTTTAAGAATGCAAGATATTCGAACAATAACCCAGCACCAACTTGCATTTTTAATCACAGGTCCAAAAGGATAACAAATCATCTACTTGATTTGATATCTGAAAGTTAAAGTAAAACTTGAGTCTTAGTTGATTAGTCAGCAGAGCTGCCAGTCCTTCTATAACATCACCCTCAATGGAAAAAAGCACTATGCCTATTATTGGCCAAAATTGCATCCTTCCACAGTTACACTAGACCCACTGTTTATGCAGAAATGCATTCCTGTGTAACCACATTTCAGTGATTTGAGTTAATTTTGCAGAAGCTTTGGAGGAGTTTGAAAATGGAATAATTCTTTTGTAAAATGTAAATCTTAAATGTCTATGTATTTCGGTTGGCTTAAAGTATAGCAAACTCTTTTTTACTCTGATTTTAAAATTGTATATGTAGTACAATGTAATCTGTGGGAGAAATATGCACCCACTCAGCACACAGGTAATGAATAAGTACCAAGTGCCAGGCACATACACCCTGCCCCAGAAGAGCCAAGTATTAACGTCAGAGCAGTTATGAAGATAAGTAGTGGCATCACAGCAAGGTTTCTAAGAAAAGACGTGCACAGTGATATAAACTCCTAAAGGGGAAAGCTGTGCATGTGACTGGTGAGGATCTAGAATACTTTCCAGAAGATGACATTGACACCAGATAATCAATTTATCAGGTGAGGAAACCATGCATGTGCATACACAGCACATGCTTCAGGAGAGAGTGCACACAAGCACGTGCTGGGGGTAGTTTTCTTGCCATCACTAACACCTTCTGGTTCTACACCTTAGATATTGATGAATGTGCCTCCAGTAAAGCAGTCTGCCCCTACAATAGAAGATGTGTCAATACATTTGGAAGCTACTACTGCAAGTGTCACATTGGTTTTGAACTGAAATATATCAGTGGCCGATATGACTGCATAGGTAAGATTCAATGGCACTTTTCCTTTTGTTCCTTTCCCCATCACACCTGAAAGCTTCTCTACAGATAATTCTGATGTCAATTCAATCTATTATTTAAACCATCGACTATACTGGTCAGCACAACAACAACAACAAAGATGATATTATTCAAGTTTCTGGCACTTAGAAAACTCTGGTGACATCAATTAGGAAACCAGGTCAACAAAGACTTAAAGTAAGGACTATATCTCTATTAAGGAGGCAAATATCTTTGGATGATTCTGGTGGGATTTTTTTAATTTGGTAGGTTTGGTTTTGTTTACATTTTTTGGTTCTGTCTCCATCTACACATCTAAAAATGGGAATCATAAAATGATAGTTACATTTGGTAATGGAGAACAAACAAGATCTCAGTGGTCTGTTCCTGAGTCTCCATCAGGGGAGCTTTAGTAAACTGCATAAAGGATATGAGTACACATGCTCTTTTCTCTCTCTTCTTTTAGCCTTTTCATAGTTAGAGCTCCAAATAAATTGTTCCCTTTCCACAGTCCCCCAAAATCACTCTCTGATAAGATTCTCATACCAGTCAGCTATTGGCCTAATCTGTGTATAATAAAGTATCTTATTCCATAGTGAATGGATTCTAAATCTCAGTGAGCACATGAGGTAGGGTATTTGCAGAACCCTCATATAAATTCCTGTTGCCCTTGATATGCTACCCTACAGTGAAGGGAAATTTGGGCTTCCTCTAGATTTCTATTCACATAGCATGTGTAACTAAGGTGTGTGCATTACATGGAAAGCTAACAGTTGGGAAAAATAGAGTTGTTTTCAACCCCACACTCAGGCTTTCCAGGACATGTCTTGTGCAATCGTGTTGGGGCAATCCTTGATTGCTGGGTTTTGAACAGTCTTGTGAAACCTCCACAGCTCTTCCCTCAAATCTTCTCAAACACAAAGACCGTTCTACACAGGCTCATAAAACCCATATTTGTGGTGAGCTTGGACCCTGCACCCTCCTGCAAACCCATCTAGCTCTGTAATCCAATAACTCTATGTTATACAGTGTGATCTTGTCCCCTGACACCCGAGGGTAGGGTAGGTAGATAGGGTAGGCACTCACATGGAGCGCTTCACAAGAAAACAAATCTTTGATGTTTAAAGTGATTAAGATTAGCATCTGAGCTCCCTTTTTTGCTGAATTAAAAACAATAAGCCATTTTGTATGCTTATGTCTACAAACATGTAGCTAGAAAGTGGGATGGAGCAGAGCAAAGGAACCTCTTGCTTGGGTGGAATTTGGCAAATTTTCCTCCTCTAAACCAGCAGACGAGCTGAGACCAGCCTGACCCTTCCTCCTGGCATGCTTTAAACAAATGACCCTGCCTATAAGTTCAGATGATGTCAATAGTTTCTGGCTGAGCTCATCTTTTGTGAGTTAAGAGTTTCAAGCCCTTCCAAATATAGATTTTATTTTCTGAATCTGTTATTGAGTTCTAAATTAGACAAATGAGAAAGTTAAGACAAAAACCCAAATATCTTTCAGATTTCAATAGCATTCATAAGCAAGGGTTGAAATTGCTGTGGGGGAGGTGAGCTGCTGACATGCTTCCTATATACCAGGCAGGCATCAGGCAAAGTCAGGGCTCTTAGCCAATGTGCGTGGAATTTTGAACACCTCTCAGTTCTCAGGCAATACTTGGTTTGTTGAGGGTGTTGACTGGTTGGCCTTGGAGTTGCTCAAGTAAGGGGTAGTCTTTCAGCAAGCCCCGTTACCATAAAGTTGTTCACTGGAATGTTTACATTTTTAGATGTAAACGAATGTTCCATGAATACCCGTACGTGCAGCCTCCATGCCAATTGCCTCAATACCCAAGGATCCTTCAAGTGTAAATGCAAGCAGGGTTATAAAGGCAATGGATTTCAGTGTTCTGGTAAGTAATATGGTGTTTTTGCTATTCCCACTAAAGCATTATCTCCACATCTTCCCTCTCTCTCTTCTTCATATCTCTCATCTTCATATCTCTCTCTCTCTCTCTCTCTCTCTCTCTCTGTGTGTGTGTGTGTGTGTGTGTGTGTGTGGTGTCTAAATTTAATTCTGCCTTACCTTTGTCTTCTTTGCTAGTTGGATCATGTTTCCAATACTCATGACATTGTAGGCACGAAACTAAAAGAACAGCAGGGACATATCATACTTTTCTGGACACAGCATATTTTTATTTTTTATTTTTTTTAAAGAGAGAGAGAGAGAGAGAGAGAGAGAATTTTTTAAATATTTATTTTTAGTTTTCGGCAGACACAACATCTTTGTTTGTATGTGGTGCTGAGGATCGAACCCAGGCCGCACGCATGCCAGGTGAGCACGCTACCACTTGAGCCACATCCCCAGCCCCCTCAGACATTTTTTTAAATACTGAAAAATAAGATGTACGGACAAAAGACCCCAGGATATCTGTCAGGATAGGTTAGGTTATGGTATAGTAACAAGCAATCCTTTAATGTGAATCAGGGCTTTGCAGAATGCACAACCAAAACAAAGTACAATGCAGTGGATATCACTTTATCTGCCATCCACAGGCCTGGATTCACTTTCTTGATTGTATAACAGAGAGCCCCATTGTTCTTGCCACTGGTGAATTCTTTAATGGTTATTAGTTAAAACTTTATAAGCCAGATGTACAACTACAAAATTCTACTGCTATGAACAACTACAACAATAATAAATGTATATTTCTCATGCACAGTATGTCTGAAGAGAGTTTTCAGGAGATTTCTTCTCAATATAGTCACTTAGGGACCCAAGCTGATTGAGGCCTCACCATCTTATGGTACAAGGACATAAGTCCAGGGTCTTAGAATTTGTCACAACCAGGAAAAAAGCACGAACAACCATGTGCCAGATCTTAATTAATTCAGCATGTGAGTGTCTAACTTCAAGGAGCACAAAAACAATAATCGTGCTGTGTGCCCTGAGAGAGAAGAAAACTAGGAACCATTGTGAACACCTGGAATATCTGCTAACACAAGTCAGCCATGATTACAACACAGGCCATCCCCTGGTAAACAGTGTCTTACAGTGTTTAAAGTCAGCCAGATTAATCCCTCTGCTCACTTTCCTTCTAGCACTGGCTCATCATTTGACTATGTTTACTGCCCTACAGACTTCCCACATGTTCCAATAAATATGGATGCAAGTTGTCCCTTGACCTGCACCCACATCCTATGTCCCCATTTAGCCAATGCTCCTGATGATTCAATCATGCAAAAACAAACTGTATTTATCATGATGGATATTTAGTAGCAGACTCATACAGTTTTGTAGTACCCACTGGGCTGTGGTTGAATGCCACTGGACAAGAGTGTGTGCAAAAATAAAGAAAGAAAGAAAGAAAATTAGTCTGGAAATCAAATTCTATTAGAACTGGAAGAATAACTGAGCAGCATTTAGTCTGGAAAAGCATAAATTGTGCCTGGAAATATTTTAAGAAATGCGAAATAAAAGTGGCTTCCCAGAGCAGACTAAAACCAATGGGTAGAAAGTACATTCTTTAAAATGATGGAACAAGGAACCTCAAAGAGTAGGGGCATTTCACTGCCACACGCCTTCAGGCCAAGGGCTCTGGGAGAGATTCCTACATTGGGCTGAAGGTAGGATTAAATGACTACTCAATTGCCAGCAACTCAATGCTATGGATTCTATCACTCTAGGTAGAAGTACCCAATGATGTCCTTCTGAAGCATGATTCAGAGAGAGAGAGAGAGAGAGAGAGAGAGAGAGAGAGAGCGCTGTACTTTGGTGGGGAGGATGCCATAACCTTGGGAGGCTTCCAGGGAGGAGATGGAATAAATCAATTGTCCATACTGGATAAATGTTTGGAGACCCATACCTAACACTCTTTCATGCCACCAAAATGTGAATATGTACATTCCAGGAACAGGAGGCCTGAATTTAAATCTGAGCTCTGCCTCCACTGGCTGTGACTTGTAGCAAGTTTCTTAACCTTTCTGAGCTCAGTTTCTCCTGTCCAAGGTAAGACAGGTACTAGTATTGGGTCAGACCACAGTCCTTTAGAGCTCCCTAACCCCAATGAGGCAGGATGGACAGTTCCATGCATATCTCTAACCCCTGTACAACACTTTCTCTAAAAGGCTACCCAGCCTCCTGAAGATTTAACTCATAGATAGGGAAAGTCAATACCCCTAGAGAACCCCACCCCCAGCCAGCGAGGGACAAGAGTCTATGGATAAATACACCACTTTCCCGGTCACAAGGTAGAACAATTCTAAGTTGTCTTCAACACTGACTCTCAGACATCCCCAGTGGGAATGAACCCCATTACCCACAGTGAACCTGCCCATCAAGATACCATATTTTGTTTTTCCTCCCTTCCTATCTCACTGTCCCTTTTCTCTCATTCATTTCTGTCTCTTGGAATCACCTCCCAAATAAACCACCTACACCCAAACCCTTATCTTAGGTTTTGCCTGGAGAACCCACACTAAGACAAATACCTCTCTCAGAAGTCCATTATGAGATTAAACAAAGTGATATAGATGAAGAACTTAGTTCATCTAGGTACAGAGTACTAGCTGCTCAATAAAGTTAGCTATGGTTACTATTGTTGTTACTACTATTTAAATCAGTTGTTAGAGGCCAGCTACTCTGAAATTCTATAAAGATAAATGGAAAATACTGTGCATACAATATAGAAGCCTCAGGAAAATAGTGGGTAACTCACCCCCACATATCCCCTCCCCTACCCCCAGGTCTAAGAATCAAGGGATTAGAAAGAATTTCCCAGAATAAACCTGGAGTCATCTTTATCATCCTTTGGACCCCTTGAAACCACAATGTGTTATTCATTTCCAAAGGAAGGCAATAGCTTTAAGCACACAACTAGGCAATTGTTTGCAGCCCATGTTTTCTATATTGTAACTCAGCACTTTAAAATTATAAATTCCACATCAGTGCAAACATTTCTTATGTGAAAACTTTCATTTTTCTTTGATGATCCAAATTTACGTATATTTGAGGGTAGAACAAAATTTTCTTTATTGTTTGAAACCTCGAATTTATCACACCATTCTATTCAACATCTGAAAATTATGCATTTTGTTGTTCATCCATTGTGCAGCTGAATTATTTCTTTAGTCTTTCCCTAGAATGTTTACTTAAAGGAGAAAGTCATCTTTGGGGCATTCACTATATTATCTGTCCTCCCTTTTAATTTTACTTTCATTCTTTGTAAAACAAACATCTATGTTTCTGTTGAAAATTGATCTTAATGAGTCTTAACACCCATTGCTTAAAGGATAACCAAAATTCTACCCTTATGGGCATAGAAGTTATAAAAACAAAAATGAGAGAAGTGTATCCAGCATTATATAATGTCAGCTTGCAAAATACATTTATGTGTGCATGAATTGCTACTATCTAATATAGAGCATTGATATAGCAGCCTTTATTTTTCTTTTCTGCAGTGCTGAGGACGGAACTCAGGGCCTTGGCCATGCTAAGCAAGTGTTCTATTGCTGAGCTACCCGTCCCCCAGCTTTTAATATAGTGACTTTTATCATGAGTTCATTGTTTTGAAAAATTCAGACGCTACACTGCAGCAACAAAGAAGAGTTGGTCAATTATCCTTATACACCATCTGGGCCCAAAGGAAGAAGCACCCTATAAACATAGATGTTTGTTTTTTACCATACTAAGATAAGTGAGCTGGGTGTGGTGGCACATGCCTGTAATCCCGGCAGCTTGGAAAGCTGAGGTAGGAAGATCGTAAGTTCAAAGCCAGCCTCAGCAACTTAGCAAAGCCCTAAGCAATTTAGTGACACCCTGTCTCAAAATATAAAATAAAAAAGGTTGGGGATGTAGCTCAGTGGTTAATCCCCTCTGGGTTCAATCCCCCATATCAAAAACAAAAAGGAATACGTGAATATTATTACACTGCTAAATATTTTGGTCTGGATTTGACAACAGCTATACTTCATTCTAAGAAATTGAAAACATGGATAGTACTCAGTTGGGGCAGTAATGGTCAATTTATGAAAGGAAACTATGTCAATCAAGTTACCAGGTATTAGGTTACCTTAATTATATCCCTGGCTTCCTAGCTTACTACCTGTGGCCTGAGAGCAAATTATTTAACTTTTAAGTACCTCAGTTTCCACATCCACAAAATAGGAATGGTAGCATCTGGCCCTTGATGTTAATTTGATAATTAAATGAAGCAATACGTGCAGAAGAAACAAATTTCAATCTAAAAGGCTTACCTTCCACCTATGTTCAGTAAGCATGTGCTAGTAGTAGGAGTAATAGTGCCAAAGATTTCTTTACCAAAATCTAACAATCATTCCCATTGAAAAGCAACTTCTTATTCAATTTATACACAATTTACCCAATAAGAGAGGTTTTGAGAAAACCAGGATGTCTCAATTTTTTTTCTTCAATTACAGCATAAACCTCAGAAATTCAGAGGCAGGGCCTGGGAATTTTATTTTTAACTCAGTAAAAGATTTTAAACCTTCTGGTGATTAATTCTAAAAATAATAGCAAACATATCCTGAGTTTGTGCCAGGCATTAATCTTAGAGCTTGACCTGTATTCACTCATTTAAACCTTTCAAAATCCTCTTCTTATCCCAATTTTTTAAAATGGGGAGACTGGGGCTAAGAGAAGTTGGATATTAGTTTGAGGACATATGGCTAGAGATGGAAGGAGTAAAGTCCAGCAAAGTGGGCTTAAGCATGGGGCAGTTGTGTTCATGGTGGGTGGCTAATCCCCTGTGATGGAGAAGTCCTTCTGTCTCCCTCCCCATAAAACTGTCTGGATCAGCTTTTGTTCCATCTTAGCCCTTCCTATTTCCTGGATCCCCTGGTACAGTACACCCTCACCTGTGGTTAAGCAATTCCTCCCAGGACTGTGTCCAAAGCTCATTTGGTGGAACATTTGTCCTATCACATGATATGGGGTCATCTGATGAACTAAGTATAGGTAAATGAATGTCAAAGTCATATTCCTTCTGAGTCAGATATTCTCACCTAAGCGTGATCTTCTATTAACAGTCTTATTCTAGAGAAATGAGATTAAAGCTAAGTTTTCCAGGTGGAAGTTTTTGACAAAATGGATTTTAGAGAAATCTCTAATCCTTCACGAGAGACATTGTCAACTGCATCTACAAAAGACTGGCCCATGAACCTAAAGACTTTGAAATTCCCTATTTTTGTCTAAGTGCCCCAAACATGCCTAAGACTCTCTTACTTCAACTTCCTCTCACATTTGTATATTCTCAAAAAGAAAATACAATAATCAAGAAATGTTAGGAGAAACAATCATCAACTATGCTAAATTTGAAACAGCAGTACCTACATAAAAGCAAATCTAGTTAAGCTTATATATATGCATATCTTTTTACTGCATTTTTATCTTTGCTCAGCTTTCTCTTTACACACTAAGGGAACAAAATTGTTGGCATTACAAAGGTTATGATGTTTTGATTTTTTTTTTCTTTTCAGTAGGAAAATTTGAAACTTCAAAGCAAAAACTGAAAACAGATGTTTAGGTTTGCCCAATGTGGTTGAAACCCTCTCCTCTCCCGGTTATTTATTAAAGGTCCTTAGTTTTATGTTACTGATTGCACAAAGGAAATTTACAGAGAATTGGTGTTTCCTGTTAATTTTTCATGCTGGGTACTGAGAAAAGATTCAGAAAGCTGTGGACAGAATTACACAGTGGGGCCTCCAGAGGAAGGTATATTATGATCAGCACATTAAAATCAAGACCTCTGGCAAAGGAGCTGAAACAAGCCATGTGAAGGTCAGGAAAATTAGAAATGACATACCACTGGTATTAGTACTAATTTGTTTCATACCTATAAGTACAGTCTGTCACAATGATAAATAACTAGAATATTTCATCGAAAGAAATACCACACTTTTGTCCTAGTAGCCTCAGATTGATGTCAAAGTGAAAGCAATGTATTAATTAAAAACATATATAGCAGGGCATGGTGGCACATGCCTATAAATCCCAGCAGCTCAGGAGGCTGAGGCAGGAGGATCACGAGTTCAAAGCCAGCTTCAGCAACTTAGCAAAGCCCTAAGTAACTCAGTGAGACCCTGTCTCTAAATAATAAAAGTCAAAAAAGGGCTGGGGTGTGGCTCAGTGGTTGAACACCCCTGGATTAACTCCCCAGTAACAAAAAAAAAAGCATATATATTTGCCGACCTGGTGGTGCACGCCTATTATCCTAGTGGTTGGGGAAGTTGAGACAGGAGGATTGTGAATTCAAAGCCAGCCTCAGCCTCAACTTAGTGAGACCCTGTCTCTAAATAAAATACAAAATAGGGCTGGAGATGTGGCTCCATGGTCAAGTGCCCCTGAGTTCAATCCCCAGTACCAAAAAATATATATATTTTTTCCAAGAATTTTTAAAAAATATTTGTTAGCTGTAGATGGACATAATATTTTTATTTTTATTTATTTATTTTTATGTGATGCTGAGGATTGAACCCAGTGCCTCACACATGCGAGGCAAGTGCTCCACCACTGAGCTACAGCCCCAGCCCTCAAAGCATTTTATTTCCCCTTTCGATTACTCAAAATATTGTGAACTTCTCCTTATTTATTTTTCTGCTACTTTGGTACAGATCGAATTAGCCAAGTGATGAAGAAGGAACAAAGCAGAGGAGATTAAAACATTGCCAAGAAAAATATTCTAATAACATCCTAATCCAGTTTATTTTTATCATATTCATTTTGGCACCAAAATTGATGTCTACTTCTTTCTTTCACTTTCCTATATACTGTCTCTAAGTAGTAGAATTGAGTGAATTGAGTCAAGTGTTATTGCAGCCTTTCTTGCTTAGTGTTAGACTAGCTTGGGCCTAGATATTTTATAACAGGACAATATATTTGATTTTAAAGATCATTGTTTTTAATTTTTAAGAAATAAATTGCTTTTTTTTACATCAGTTGGATATTTTAATTATCCTCAGTATAGCCCTGGAAAAGGGACAGGTATCATTGGATCATAGATCTCCAGAAATTTGAACCAGTCTAGAAAAAATAACCCTTAACCTTAAAATAGGAATAACCCTGCCATGGAAACAGGACTGGATAAAAGAGTCATTTATATATGCTTTACCCTCAAATCCTAGCTCTGCCCTTCGATAGCTAATGAGGTTGGTCAAGTCATTTAGCATTGCCCAGTTGCTCCATCTACAAAATGAGACTGTTGGGCTAACTGGCCTTTTCCTACCTCTTAAGTTTTTCTACACTAACTCTTTTTCCCCAGTGTTATCATTTTACCCCAGTGGATCACATTTCAGGATAGAAGGAATCAATCTAGAGGTATATTTTTATAGCAATTTAGTTTTGTGGTAAGAAATAGAAAAATGGATATAAATTAGTAAATTAGAAGCCTCTCTAGAAATATTCAATAAACAAAATCATTCAGCTTTAGATAGTAGTTGGCTGAATTGAAGAAAATGAAAGGGGGAGAGAGAAAGGGGAAGGAAGATTAAGCATGGACATTGAACCACAAATCATCATGTTTGTAAGTCACGAAACATTATTGGCATATATGTTTTGACCTAATGCTATAGCTGTAGTCTTTGACATCAAATTTGGAAAAGAAATCTCTATGGCTACTTGAACAATATCAGGATTGAGAAAGTGCACATGAAAGCAAAAATATTAGATGAATCCAGAAAATCCATTACTTTAGGATCGTAATCCAACTGGTTAGTAGCAAGTATTTCACTAAAGTAGTTCCTGAAGCAAAATGAAGTGTGTCTTTACATTAGAACTCCTTCAGACAAATATAGTTTATCCTAAAATCTCACATGTTAGAGCCTCATACGGGTTCATTTTGGATGCAGTCACCTACTATACTTTAATCCTTCTAAAATATTCCATCATTTATGAGTGATCTAATTATCAACCAATTTGGAACTTCTTACCTATTATTGTTTGTTTTAGTTATACCTGAAAATTCTGCAAGGGAAATCCTCAGAGCACCTGGGACCATCAAAGACAGAATTAAGAAGTTGCTTGCCCACAAAAACAGCATGAAAAAGAAGGTAAAAATTAAAAATGTCACCCCAGGACCCACTGGGACTCGCCACCCTAAGGTTAACTTGCAACCCTTCAGCTATGAAGAGACTGTTTCCAGGAATGGGAACTCTAATGGAGAAAATAAGAGGAATGAAGAGAGGATGAAAGAGGGGCTTGAAGAAGATAAAAGAGAAGAGAAACCCCTGAAGAATTATGTGGAGCAGGAGAAAAGCCTTCGAGGAGATGTGTTTTGTGAGTATCGCTTTTATTACTTTATACATTTCATGAAAAATGAATTGTTATTCCTCTTGGAAAAATGAAAGAAGAATAGACAGTTTCACAACTTAAGTAAAATTGGAATGGGTCTTAAGTCCTAAGAAGTCAGGTTCACCTTCCACAGATACCAAACCAAGTATGCTGGGCAATGAGGAGGGTAAGTCCTGTTTCCTTACTTGAGCATTCCTTGTTTGGGGCAGACTCTCTCTTCCCACTAGCAGCCCAGTAAGCTGTTTGTCCTGCAAGCACAGATGTCTAGCTGCCAAACTCTCCATAAGACCTACCTCCCAAATCAGGGAGACCCTTGCCATGTGGATCTACCAAGCTCTACCTTTTTACTTCTTAAAGATACTTTTCACTGGCCCACTCTATAAAATGGGAACTTCACAGTTGTGTAGTTATGCTTTTAAAGGACAAAATAAAAAATCATGGGGGTGGTGGGAAGCTATAGTAAAGCTTAAGTTTTCCGCATGAGCTAAGTGACCACCATATCTCTCTTTTCATCAGTTGCTATACAGAACCCCACTACAAGTCTCAGCCCATCCAGAACAGCTCCCATATTAACCCAGCCTGGATCCCTACACTGAGACTCCCTATGTCCTTATTTGACACTTGTCACTTCCTCTGTATTTTGCCTTGTCTATTCTTGGCTCTATGATGGGTGGTCAAATATAAAAATGCCAGCTTGAATTAATCAAAGAGTAAGTAGTCCACCTGTCCAAGAAATATCATACCAGTGACATTATCTCCTTTAATAGTAAAAATCTCAAGGAAGTATTTCCAAAACCTGGTGATAAGGAATGTTTCAGGAATGTAGATGCTAAGAGAACCTCTGCAAAAAGATGTTCTAGATAAGGAAACTGGAATCAATGTGACTGATTTGGAAATGGCAGACACTGCTCTAATACGTTCTGTGATTAGAATGCATGATCAGACTTTCTTTGTTCAGTGATTTGATCTTTGCTTTCTGACCATGTGGGATTTTAGGTTTTTTTCTTAACTAACCAAGTGTCCTTTATCAGCCCCTAAGGTGAATGAAGCAGGAGATTTTGGTCTGGTTCTTGTCCAAAGAAAAGTGCCAAATTCCAAAGTGGAACACAAAGGTAAATAATTCTTTTTCCCAAGTATATGCTTTCTCACCTTGTCCCATGTCTTTTTCATTTTTTCATAGAATGAGGTGATTGATTTGGAATCACTGCTTCATTCATAAACCCCTGAGGGAAAAATCATTACATCATGATACCCAGTACCAATATTAAAATAGTAGGTCCTTGGGCTGGAGTTGTGGCTCAGTGGCAAAAAACACTTGCCTAGCATTTGTGAGGCCCTGGGTTCAATTCTCGGCACTGCATATAAATAAATGAATGAAATAAAGGTTCATCAACATCTAAAATTTTTTTAAATAGTAAGTCCTTGCATGATTGGTACCAATAATTACAATATAGTATGACTATTTTCTTCTCTTTGCCACTCCCACCTGTCACTGAAAGGATAGAATTGAGGCAGACTATATATGTGAAGATGGGAGAAAATTACCCCAACACTTGAGGGTCTACAACCTGAAAATTGCCATGTACTAAAATCTGGCCCAACATCCCTGAATCCATTACCAGTTGCCATAATAATGCTGTATAACAAATCACCACAAACTCTCAACGGCTTATGGCAGTAAATGTTGATTTTTGCTTATGAACCTGGATCATCTGGGCAGTGTGCCAATCTGAGCTGGGCTGAGTGGGCTCACCCATATGGCTGGAGTCAGTTGCAGGCCTGCTTTCTGACTTTAATGATCTTAACTGTGCTCTCTCAAATGTCTGGGCCTCATCTAGGACAACTGAACTTGCTCAGCTCTGTTCCATGTAGTCTCTCATCCCTCTACAGTCTAGTCCAAGGTTGTTCTCAAAAGACAGTTCCAAAAAATAGAACAGAGACAAAACAGGCCTTTTGAGGTTTAGGCCCAGAACTGGCACATCACTTCTGCCACATTCCACTGGCCAAGGCAAGTCACAAGGCCAGCCTAGACTTAAAGGTTAGGAAAGGATCTACAAAGTTATACTGGTTGAGTATCTCTTGCTTGACGTGCTTAAGACCAGAAATCTTTGCAATTTCAGATTTTTTTTTTAATATTTTCATATACACAATGAGATATCAGTGGGGATAAGACTCAAATATAAACACAAAATTTATTTGTTTCATATATATCATATATACATATCCTGGAGGCAATTTTATACAATATTTTTAACAATTTTGTGCATATAACAGTTTCATGGTGTGGAATTTTCCACTTGTGAAGTCATGTCAGTGCTTAAAAAGTTTCAGCTTTTTGGAGCATTTTGAATTTCAGATTAGGGATGTTCAACCTGTGTTACAAAGGGTGTGGCTATAGGAGGAGATAAGAATTGGGACCATTTTTGTGAAGTTTACCAAAACTTTATTATCTGGAATTTCTTGGGCATGATGCCTGGTTCTTCAGTTTGTTTAGAACTACTACCCATGATAAATTATATGTGGCTATAATTGAGATCTCTACACAGATTTCCCTTGGTGGTAAGTATGAATGCCTTTGTCCTATCTTTCTTTTTCAAATTTTCTTTCACTTACCACTGTAGATGGTAGTGCTAACCTATGCTAATTAGATTCCCTTTTGTGTTTACCCTGCAAGTACATTCTTTAGTTTTATCTTTTTGGTTTATGGAATGGTCTCTACCATGAAGAAAGTGCTTCTCTGGTTCCATCCTTCAAATTTGATCTGAGAATCTTCTACTAAAATCTTTTCAAGGGCTAGTAACCCATGACCCAGCTCCTACATCTTGTTTTCCTCCTTTTAAAAAAATTTCTCAACATTAGACATCCTATTGTCCATTTTCCTGGTTAGGAAAAGGGAGTTCCATAGCACAATCCTCCCAGTGCTCACAGTTTCTACCCAGTTCTGCTTCACACTTGCTAAGCACCCATAAGGAATTATTTGAGTCCTCGTTGGATCCCCAAACTGACCAGATTTCTTCTTTTACTTTTTCTTCCAGGATCCTTAACGAAACACAGAAAGTTGAAAATTTTGTTCAGGAGTATAATGACCCTACTATTGTAACAGTCTTTGAATAAAGTGTCTCAGAGAGCTCAGTCCCAATCAAAAGATTCAGGTAGCTGGGCATGGTGGCACACCCTGTCATCCCAGCAGCTGGAGAGGCTGAGACAGGAGGACCGCAAGTTCAAAGCCAGCCTCAGCAAATTGGCAAGTCCCTAAGTAACTCAGTGAGATCCTATCTCTAAATAAAATACAAAATAGGGCTGGGGATGTTGCTCAGTGGTTGAGTGCCCCTGAGTTCAATCCCTGGTACTCCCCCGCAAAAAAGATTCAGATGCACACCCCAACTATTCCACTTGGTAATTGCCTTGAGCAAGTCATTTAGACTTGCTTGCCTCATTGCTTTCATACATGAAGATGGAATGAGAACAATATTCCTCTCTTACTTGCTATCTTAGGCTGGGTTCCCCTAAAAGAGATACTGAGACAAGAATTTGTGTGCAAGTGGTTAATGGGAGAGGCATCCCAAGAAGCAGTGGATAGAGTATGAGGAAATTAGACAAGGGATATAAAGAGGCAATAAATGGTGTGTTATCAGGCAAATTTTCACCATGGGGAACAGGAGCTCAATCTAATTAGGGAAATCTTGGAACCAGTGCAAAATACAAGGCTTAGAATTATCCTAGAGGAGGGATAAGGGAGCTGGGGTATATATGCACTGAGTCCCATCTGACATTGATTGAATACTGCTCCAAGAAGAAGCTAATTCCCTGGCACTTCTACACTGCCATGAAAGTAGGGGAGGGCACTGTGGTCACTGGACCGCCATGCCCCTCAGCCCTTCTGCAGAACTAAACAGCTTCTGGACCCTCCTGACTTCAGTCTGCATTCAATTCCAGCACTTATGGGTCCTATCCAAAAGCAAGAATATAGAAGTATTTATTTACCAATTCCTGTCCATCACTGGTTCAGAGCTCTCCCTAGGGAAGGAACTCACCAGCATTCTAACATCCCTGGCTTGGGCCAAGCATGCTTCAGCCAGAGAACATCTTCATACAGAGAGTTGTGGGTACTTGCAATAGAAATCCATATGCTTGCAAGGGAACATAAGTACTGACAGATGTTGGTGCAGCACCAACAGCATCTGCTTTGAGGTTGGTGTGAATTAAATCAGAGAATATATTTGAAAACACTTTGCAAACCATGAAATGCTAAACTAATGAAGTAGTATGCTTTATGCTTTGAGAACAAAGACTTGAGTTATACCTCTTTATGGAATTTTTCTATATAGTGGTCCCTAATCTCAGTTTGCATGCCCTATTTCCCACATGTTGAGGAAGAAGGGGGAGTTTGGGAAAAATGTGCCAGCATATAAACCAATTGAAAAATTGATGTCCCACTATTTATGGGAATGGTAACATCAATTTCTCAAACTAGTAATAGCACTCATTAAAGAGTATTGAAGAAGAAGCAAATATTATTTGGTATTATTTTTATTTTAAAATCAGGACTAGAAATAAGCTGTCTTTGATGACAGGGAAAAACAGTGGGTTAAAAAGAAAGGAAGATGGGCATGGTGGTGCACACCTGTAATCCCAGTACCTAGGGAGGTGAAGGCAGGAGAATCACGAGTTCAAAGCCAGCCTCAACAATTTAGTGAGCCTCTAAGCAACTCAGTAAGACTGTCTCTAAATAAAATACAAAATAGGGATGGGGACTGTGGCTCAGTGTTCAAGTGTCCCTGAGTTCAATCTGTGGTCATCCCTCCCCCCCAAAAAAAGAAGTAAGGATAGTGAGAAAATGGGCAGTGTGCTTGTACTAAGTTAGGATATGTTCAGAATGGACAACTACTGATTTCAGTCTGCTTTGGGATTCAAGTCTAGTTCTAGCACACAATGTCTGCAGAACTTGGTCAAATCACTTGTGAGCCTCGGTGTTACTTTCCTAAAAATGGGTCCGATGGTAGACTTTTGACAATCAAATCAAATGGTATAATGTTTGTGCAAATATTTGGCACATTGAAAGGAGTCAAGAATCAAGAGCTTTTGAGCTTATTTCCTTTTCTTTCCATTCCTTTATTCCTTTGCAAAAACAGCGAAAGCCCCTAAATCAGAGCCAGAAGCTAGGCTTTGTTTTCAATCAGAAGTATCTCAGTCTTCTCCCTATTTATTTTCTTTCTTTCTTTTTTTAGTGTAGGTTGAACACAATATCTTTATTTTATTTATTTATTTATTTATTTGTTTGTTTGTTTGTTTGTTTGTTTATTTATTTTTATGTGGTGCTGAGGATTGAACCAGTACCTCGCACGTGCTAGGTGAGCGCTCTACCACTGAGCCACAGCCTCAGCCCCAGTCTTCTCCCTATTTCAAAGTTGTATTTTTTTATTATCTATACCAGGAGTCAGCAAACTTTTCTCTGGAAAGGGCCAGATAGTAAATATTTCAGGCTTTATGAGCCATATGGTCTCCGTGTCAACTACTCAACTATATCCTTGTAGCTCAAAGGCAGCTATAGATGATATGTAAATGAATGGGCAAGGTGTGCTTCAATAAAACTTTACCAAAATGGGCAGTAGGCCAGGATATTAGTTTTATGACCTCTGACCTACATAAAAGTAACCAGAGGCACTAATTTAAAACCTATACTAGCTGACTATAGATTTCTCTGACACTTCTAAACATGGCAGTCATTCTACCATAAAAACCCAGAAACAATTTAGAAACCAGCAGTGTTTCAGCTTATTTGAAACACCAGAACACTGGCAATTTTCTAACTGAAATGTTGGAATCATGAAGTTAAGAAATGACAATTTTGTCCACTTAATATCTCATTTGTACCTATGGGATTTTAAGTGATGAAAGTGACTGAATGACAACATGAAGAGGCCAATGCCATTGAAAGAAGGATTTATTACTTACAGCTCCCAAGAGAAGGGGCATATGATGCCAACACAGGGCCACAGGGAAAGCATCAGGTTAGGATCCAGAAAGAAGCAAGGGGAAAGCCTAGGCCATATCTCTATTGTGGTTTCTGTGGAAAGAAAGGCAGGACAGGGCAGGGTAAACTGCTTAGGTTTGGCTAGTTCGAATAACTGCAGAGGGGTTTGGGGCACAGGGGCTGTTCCTATATGTTGCCTGGTCCTGGGATGATTTAAGACAGGGGAAATATTGGTTTGGTGTGTGTATGAGTCATCTTTCTTATTGCTATGGCAAAATACCTGAGATAATCAACTTATAAGGAGGAAAGATATATTTTGACTCACAGTTTCAGAAGTCTTGATCCATGCTCACTTGGCCCCATTGCTTTGGGCCTATGATGAGGCAGAACATCATGGCAGGGAGCATATGGTGGAGCAAAGCTGTTCACCTCATGGTAGCTAAGAAGCAGAAAGAAAGAGAAAGGAAAGGCCTAGAATCCTAATATCCTGTTCAAGGGCATGGCCCCAGTGACCTTATTTCTTTTCACTAGGCTCCACCTCCTAAAAGTAGCACTATCTCCCAATATAGTACCACAGGCTGGAGACCAAACTTTAGTACGTGGCCATTGGGAGACATTTCAGATCCAAACCATAACAGTGTATAAGAGTAGATAAAGGGGGTATTGGCTTGCATATGAGAAGCATGCTCTCGAATAAAGTGTTACTATCTTGGAATTAGCTGGCTCTGAAGGGGGAAGGGGGAAATTGCTCCCTAGGTCTTCAAGGTCCCCCAAGATGTGAAAACATCATAAAATACAGTAAATAAAAAACATGATTTATATATTTATTGTTAAATGAATGTTAGTGAGTCATGTACTACATGAAACTTACTATTCCACAAATCATCTGAAAAGTTCTGGCAAGCTCTTCGGTTGTTTATTTCTGTAGAAGAGAATTTATTTTCTGGCCTGAATTTTATGAACAATTGGTTATATTCCCTGTTTTGCTTTGCTCACGGGGTTCTTGCTCATTAATTATTTTTTAAATAGGTTGTTTTAGTGTTGTTATTGTGTTTTAAAATCACAACAAAATTTGTAAAGAATGGTGTCACAGATTTAACTCAAAAAAGGGTGTCTGGTTAGGGCATTTAAGTTGCCATAATCTATACTCTATGCAACTGAAAATATGACATTGCCTTCCAAAGCTCTAAATATTAGCTACCTTTCTAATGTTCTTAATGTTTGTGAAATATGCTTTTTTGGCAGATTTAAATATCTCAGCTGATTGCAGCTTTGATCATGGGGTCTGTGACTGGAAACAAGATAGAGAAGATGATTTTGACTGGAATCCTGCTGATCGAGATAATGGTATTTATATTTGACTCTTTCATGTTCTGCAATAGGGCAAAAGTAAATCAGTTGCTCCAATGATGGAAGGTTAGTATTCTTGTCACTCCTTAGGTCAGAGTTTTGTCATTGTTGGAAACCTTTAGACCTTCTGAGGTCTCTTCTGATGGATGATTAACTTGGTCCAGTATATATTCCCCTCCTTAATCCCTTTTCCACTCACCTGCCCTCATAAAGGATGCTCCAGAAAACTTCTTTTATATTTACCCTCTTGCTTCCGAGAGAAGATAATGATATTCATGTAAAGTTTAGGGGTATTGGGGAAAAGGCAGAAAGAAGTTGTTCCTTTTTCTCAGTTTTCCAGTCATGATGCTCTGTAGTTTTGTTTTGTGTTTTCAGGGGAAATCCATCTCAAAAGGAAATATGACCTCTGTTGAAACCTGGAGTTTTAGTTGAGCTACTGCTCAAAGCATCAAAAACCTGATGAGTATCAAGTTAGCAGTCTGAACTCTTGGACTAAGCTTTCCATTCTGTTGTTGGAGGATTTCTTTCTGACCACCTGCCCTTGAATTTTGCTCAACCTCAGCTCCAAGCTGTGGATTTCCTGCCCTTTCCACTGTGTACTCCAACACTATTGATGGACCCTAATTTTCCCATTGGGTAAAGCATTTGGCTTGCAGCTCTCATTTGGAGCACATATTGAACCTCTGTCTCCTGAAGGCCGCCTATATAACTAGGGACAACCATTACACCTCAGGGTCTGCAGTTCCTTCCCAGTCCAATTATTTATTCAGGGATATAGAGACTCAGGCTTTGGTTAAAAGATCCTTCTAGATTCTACCTTGGATCTAATTCCTCCCTGAGATCTTTCTTTTCAAGCCTTCACATACAGTCAGAAAACTTGGATATCCACTAACAAGAATTCTTTTTAGAACAGTTGTGTAAGTGGAACTATTGCTAAAGATTCAGGGCAAGTACAGTTGCTCTGACCCTCAATTTTCTTCTCCATATAGCAAAGGACTTCAACTGTGTAATCTCTAAAATCTGTTTTAGCATGAAAAATTTGTTCCTATTTTCAAAAATGATATCAGCCTTCCCTGTAGCATGCTTTTGTTCATTTGCATAGCTATTTTATATATTATAGACAAATCCTTTATAATGGCTTCACTAAATGTGCCTTTTTACCTTCTTCTTCTCTTAAAGCTGTTGGCTATTATATGGCAGTTCCAGCATTGGCAGGGCACAAGAAGGACATTGGCCGGTTGAAACTTCTCCTCCCAGACCTGCAACCCCAAAACAACTTATGCTTGCTTTTTGATTATCGGCTGACTGGAGACAAAATAGGGAAACTTCGAGTGTTTGTGAAAAATAGTAACAATGCCCTAGCTTGGGAAGAGACCAAGAGTGAGGATGAAAGGTGGAAGACAGGGAAAATTCAGTTGTATCAAGGGACTGATACTACCAAAAGTGTAAGTGGAAAAAAAATGATTAAGCTGAATATTTACATTCTTTTTTCAATGATTCAACAAACAAAACACTTACTAGAGTGCCTAGGCACTGAGGATACAGAAATGAATAAGAATTTCCCCTCCATTTAGAAAGCTTACATTCTAGAGCAGAACAGGCATGGTGATTAATCAGGACACCTAATGAGGATACTTGTGAATGATATCACATTCTATGGCAATGACCTGTTAGTGTCCAGCTCTTCTTTACCAGCTCCCTCCCCAAGTAGGCTATGCATTCCTTAATGTATCAAAGTTGTCCTTCTCATCCATTCTATCTGCAGAACTTAGCACAACAGATGGAAGCCAGAAAATGACTTGTTGAATGTTGTTTTAACTGAATTGAGAGAGTGGCTATTGTCAGGGGTCCCCAAGACCACCCTCGGTTTCAATGATCCCTTAAAAGTTCTCATACAGAGGGGCTGGGGTTGTAGCTCAGTGGTAGAGTGCTTGTCTAGCATGTGAGGCACTGTGTTCATCAGCACTGCATAAAAATAAATAAAATAAAGGCATTGTGTCCATTTACAACTAAAAAATATTCTTAAAATAAGTTCTCATAGGACTCATAAAAGCTATTCTAGTGATAATTACAGCTTACATATATTAAAATAAGCAAAGGGAAAGAGCACATAGTATAGAATCCACGAGGGCCCAGGCACAAACTTGTAGTTTTCCTTTCCCGGTAGAGTCATATAGGAAGCTCTTAATTTTCCCAGTAATCATTTGTGACAACACTCCCAAAGTGTTGCCTACCAGGGAAGTTCACACAAGCTTTGGTGTCCAAAGTTTTTATGGGTTAAAACTTTGCCCATGTTACCACAGAATAACTGTCCTTAGTTATCTGGTCTCCAGTCTCTCAACTTGCTACCATGAAACCCAAGGCCCCCACCATAAATCACATTGTTAGTATAAACCATCTGGCTTAGCCAAAGATCCCAGGTAAACAAAGGCACTCTTAATCAGGTAGGATAAGCTAGATGCAGTAGCATACGCCTGTAATCCTAGCAACTCAGGAGGCTGAGGTGAGAGAATTGCAAGTTCAAGGCCAGCCTCAGCAACTTAGTGAAGCCCTAAGCAACTCAATGAAACCCTGTCTCAAAATAAAAATTTTAAAAATGGATGGCTATTTAGTTCAGTGGTAAAATGCCCCTGGATTCAGTCCCCAATACCAAGAAGAAAGAAAACTTAATCGGGTAGGATATTCCAAGGGCTTAGAAGTTATCTCCCAAGAACCAGCTATAGACCAAACTTTCTTTAGAATGTGCAGCATCTGGACAACCCTGACCTGCTGAGTTAATTCTTCTCTGTGTAGTGGATTTAATAAAGGAAAAGGAAACAGAGTTTTAAGAGCAAGTTGGTCAAACAGAGAGCCTTTTCAGGAGTTGTTTCTTTAGAGGAAAGCATCAAAGAGACATGAGGAGGGAATGGAACAGAGCCTGGAGGGAGCCACTGTAGACCATGGGGGAAAGTTTGGTCAACATGAGAAGGAAAAAGATAAGACAGGGTGCAAACTAGAAGGTATATAAAGAGTTGATCAAAGGAAGAACAATTAGTAGATCCATAAATTAGAAATTAATTAATACTTTGCTTGTGAAAGATGATGATTAATGTAAGTAAAGGCATATTTCTTGGCATTATGCATCAGACCAGAGAGCCTAGTCCCTAATGTCAGACATTAAATTTAACATCTTTTCATTTACTTGTCACGTTTTAATTAAAACAGAATATCTTATTTTAAAAATGTCTCATAAGATGTGACTATAATGAAAGCGTATGTTGGTCCCTAGTTAATGAATTTCCTAATCACTCTTACCCTCTGAAGGAAAAGCAGCCAGCTTGTTCAGAACTAACACACACAACAATTCAAGTTTACTCTCATCACAGTGCATTTAAATCAACACAAATCCAATCCACATGTTTATATTGTTGTGTTCATAGCATGTTTTGGGGACTGTGGCACTGAGCCATGATATATATGGATGGCATACCCGTTTGAAATGTTGAAATATGCTTCTGCACAATATTCACAATGACCTCCATGTTGACTGAATTAATGTGCTGGGGATTATTTGTTATATAATATGGTAGCTTGAGGTAGATTCATCATCAAAACAGTGATTTTTAATGCACATATTAAAAACATGCTTCCAAAGAACCTGGCCAGCCATCACACTATAACATAACAATGCTTGGTTGAGAGGAATGCTCACACCTCAGCACCTGTGTCCTGAATTTTTCAGTTCTGTGGGAAACCTTGGTGGGGGATACTGGAAGTTGGAGAAGCTGAAGAATTCAGTCTAAAGCATGTATTCCAGATTAGCATGACATATTGGCTATGGATATTTGTAACATATGGTGACTTTTATTCCATAATCTTGAGCATATAAGATAAGCTGCATTGCTTCTTTAAATAAAATATTATCTGAATCCAAAGCCCAATCTTGTTAGGCTGGGAAGAAATTCCATCTCAGGTACTTGCTCACAAGGGAATCCCTTCTCTAGGATGGGCTATGCTTCCCAAAGGCTAAAAGTGCCACAAACATCTTGATTTAATTGTGGGATCCATGGGTACCCACATTTTCTGCATCCATGTGACCCCTCAAGTCATTTATCACATGCCAGGCTGGGACACAGAAACCTTTACTGAGTCTTTTTACTATGGAACATCAGATAGCCATCTTTCACTCAGAGCTCTGCTAGGGAAAAGCAATGGTGTGCCTTCATAGTTCTGGATAATCCTTACTTCTCCCCATCATTGCTTCACCTTTTGGCCCTCCACCTTCTACTAATATAAACTCCTCAAGGAGGTTAAGCTTAGCTGGGCATGGTGGCACACACCTCTAATCCCAGCTACTTGGGAGACTGAGGCAGGAGGATCATAAGTTCCAGGCCAGCCTCAGCAACTTAGTGAGACCCTATCTCAAAATTTTAAAAGCTGGTAATGTGGGCTGGGGATATAGCTCAGTTGGTAGAATGCTTGCCTTGCACATACAAGGCCCTGGGTTCAATCCCCAACATCACAAAAAAAATGGTGGTGTAACTTAGTGGTAGAGGGCTTGCCTAGCATGGGTGAGGCCCTGGATTCAATCTCCCATTCTGGGGAACTAACATCAGGAAGGGCCTTATCTTCCAGAAAAGTTTGAGTTTGATCATTATATCCCAAATCTCCTTGATAAAAGAGAACACTAAAAGCCTGCCTAAGTGATTTTGGACCAAGGTAGGCAAAAAAAAAAAAAAAGTGAAAAGCAAACACAAATTACTATGACAAATAATTATTCTGACGTTTATTTTTAGTTATCCAGGGGATATCAGTAAGGGGTTTCAGTGATGGAAAAGACTCCATATCCCAAGATGCAGACATACCACCCTCATTATCCTGCCCACTGTAGCTACTGTGAGCCATCTGCTTTTTGGCCCATCTTTACTTTTTTAAAATTTACCCAAAAGAGATATCTACCTAAAAGAAGTTCCCTCCTGAGATGAAAACAGAAGAAGAAAACACTTCTAAATCTAGTGTACTTTCTCTGGGTGCTTAGTAATAGCTTGTTTCCAACAGTTCCTAAGAAAATGTACCCAGTTTGAAAGCAAAAGCAAGCAGTCTGGGAATTGGTATTCACAGGCTCTTGTCACTCCCATTTGTCCTCCTGAGGTCTCCTCTTTTCTCTTTGGAGAGCCTAGGAAAGCTGGATACAGTGATGGCAATAAACTTTAAGTTGCTTTATCTCTGTCACCTTGAAAACTGTTTCATGATTGTTTATAAAGCAAAAAAGATGCTGTTGATAATGGTGACTATTTGCATGATGCCATTCTTGTGAGCATGATGCTTTAAGGATCATTCTTTGAAATGTCAATTTTCTGTAAATTTGAATTTATTTTTTAAATGTTTAGAAAAGGCAAAGGGAAATTACTTTATTGAAAAAAGTAAAGATTCATTAATCACATCACAATGACATGAGTGTTTTCATATTTTACATTTTCCTTCCCACATGAATACATATTTTTTAATTTAGTCATACCCATGTTGGACAGACTAAATTTTAATTTAAGCCGTTGTTGAATTCCATTTTGACATAATATATGTGTGTATCATTTTAAAGAAGAATAACATGTTCCAAATTAAATGCTCTTTTCTCTCAAAAGCTTTTGAATACAGGATAACCTTAATTGTCTTTGAATCAGAATCATCTTTCTGTCCTCCAAATCTGCATATTTCTAATACTGAGAAGTGTTCCACTAAGCCTACTGCCCTCTTTCTGGGAGATATATGGGAAGTGAGGGAGATATACTCCTCCTTAGAGTGAATTATAATGAATAGGTGCTCCATAAATTAGAGCTAGCATTATTTTTATAATTATTGAGTTTTTAAAGTATGGTACTTTTTTCTAGTTATAAAATCAACGCAAACTATTTTTAAAAGCATTATAGTATTAAAGAAACTTATAAATATTCACTCAGCAAATATCTATTCTAATCATATTTATTTGAAAATGTGTTTAGATGAGTGGGTGAATATAAAACAGTCATTGTGTGTCCTTAATTTTGTTAAGTGAGTTTCCTGTCATTTTGCATCCAATTTGAAGATAATTCTTTTTAGTATTCATCCTCTGTTCTCTATACATTGGAAATTTCTAAAATAAAGGAAGTTTATTTCTCTTTTGATTATGAATAAATTTCTTAAATAAAAATTATTGTAGCATCTTATGAAACACATTTCAACACATGAGAAAAATATTTCAGACAATTTCCAAATGCATAAGCATTTTTTTCTTTTTTGGTGGGAGACGTTACTGGGAATTGAACTAGGGGTACTTTACCACTGAGCCATATCCCAAGCCCTTTTTAAATTTTTTTTTTTTTTAATTTTGAGACAGGGTCTTACTAAGTTGCTTAGGGCCTGCTAAGTTGCTGAGGCTGGTCTTGAACTTGCGAGCCTCCTGCCTCAGCCTCTCAGGTCGCTGGGATTACAGGTCTTTCAACCAAATAGTTTTACATTAGATGTTGAAAGGAATATCAAATTCCTTTTAAATGGGTTTTTATAAAGAAAACAAATTCTTTTGTTTTCACTTCTTTTCTTTAAGTGGGAATTATGAAATTTCCTCTTAAACCTTGTCCCTCTCAGTTTATGGTGCTTTCCAGGATCCTTTATATTTTACTATGTAATAAAGACACATGAGTTTAGTTCTTGTTAATAACTGTTAAATAGCTTGATTATATCATTGTTTTTAATATTTTGAAGTAATGTTTCATTCTTTCTCCATTATTAGATCATTTTTGAAGCAGAACGTGGCAAGGGCACAAGTGGCGAAATTGCTGTGGATGGCGTCTTGCTGGTTTCAGGCCTATGTCCAGATGGTCTTTTATCTGTGGAAGGTTGAATGTTACTATTGTCTTTTATATCTTTTTATTTGGCTTTTTATGTCAGTTCTCTGTGTTTTGATATTATTGTAGGACACACCCCATTTTAGAAATCAAGCTGGAAAATTGTAAAGTACCAACCAAAATATTATTTTAAGATGCCTTCTTTGTAACTGATTTGCCAATATTTGCTTTGAATATAGTACTTCTGTGTCTTCTCATTCATTTATGAATTTTTCTACATTATATTATAAAATATGGAAATTCCAGTTCATCTCCAACGTAGCATATCTGATTTGTCTAACATGAGTTGATGAACTTCTCCATACAATATTTCTAGAATCACAACAACCACAAAGAACAGAGAAATGTTTAACTTCTATGGTGCTTACTGGAAACTATGATATTAAACATAAACTTTGCCAAAGTGGCTCAAGCTGATCTTTCATAGCCTAGCTTGCATGTTTAAATTTTTTGTAATAGTGTCCAAATAATCAACTTGTGTCATGGTTTAAATTTTTCTAAGAAAGAAAATATGTTGTTGATTATGCTCAATGTGTATATGATTGCTTTTCTAAAAGTGTAGTTTTTATTCTTTTTTCTATCAAAATGCTTTGTGCTCTTTAAAATTCTTAAAATTATTTAGTATTATGGGAAAAGATGACTGCTTCATTAGGCCTCATAACTGTAATATAAATTATTGAACTGAAGGCCTCAGAGAACTACCTAAAAGTAAATTATCAAGAAGCAGGACTGAAAAACAAAAGACTTATGCTTTCTTTTCTATTTCCTTTCTTCCAAATTTAAAAATAGTTTTATGTGGTAATGAATCTTGGGTATATTCCTTGTAGACATGACTACACAGTCCCCAACTTACCATGGTTCAAGTTTTTTCAGTTTTATGATGGTATGAAAGCAATATGCATCCTATAGAAACTGTCCTTCAAATTTTGAATTTTTCTCAGTCTATGGATATACAGTAGGATACTTTCTTGTTACGCAGGGTAGTGACAATGAGCCACAGTTCCCAGTCAGCCCCGGTGTCACAAGAGGAAATAACCCAATCTCTATAGCGTGCTATGTTGCCAGTGGCTTTTAGATGTTGTACTTCGTGTTTTCACTTCCTATCATATCTACAAAACACTCATCTGTGTCTGTACATGAGATATTTGACATTCTATTATAAACTAGAATTGGTATTAGATGATTTTGCCCTACTGTGGGCTAATGTAAGTGTTCTGAGCTCATTTTAGGTAGACTAGGCTAAGTTGTAGTGTTTGGTAGATGAAATATATTAAATGTATTTTTACTTGTAATTTTTTTTAAACATAATGATGTTTTTTTTTTCAAAAATATAACCCCATGGTAAGTGGAGAAGCAGCTGTATACTGTCAGAGATTCTGTATCAGAAACAGGTCCAAGATAGTTCCCAAATAGAAGGGTCCCCAGATCTGTGCCTGCTGTCACCTAAAGCAATGAAGACAATGAACCAAGTGTCACAGGGATGAGGCAATGGAGAGGTGGATCTTACTGGACATTATTATACACAATGGGTTTGTGTCACAGCTGAGTAACCCTGAGTTTAGGAAACCCCCAATCTTATAAAAGGGCTCATAGAAAACCTGTTCAAACTTTGTAGTTGTCTTGGCCAAGAACCAAATCTGCCCTCCAAAAAGAAAGCTCTGTCTCTATTCTCCCAGACTGTTCATTATACAAATATCCTTGAAAAGACAGTATGAAACAAAAGCAGTCACTGCCTTTGTGCAGAAGATGGGGGTGGCATTCATAGAGACTCACCTCCAACCCACCCAACATTAAACTCTTAGCTTTCTGGAATCCATTAGATAAAAGAATGAATTAGAAAAACTGGATAGGAATGTTGGCTCCTTATCGATCCACAATATTACAAATAACATTCTCACCCTTGCTACAGTTCACCTTGTCTGAGTGAAAGCAGCTAGTGCTTTCTGGAACTTATTTTTCCAGACTACTTCAATCAAACCATAAAATAGCAGTTAGGTGATTTAACTTCTGCAAAATAAGCAAACATGGAATGAAATTTTTCCATATTTTGAGGGAGAACTATCAGAGTTTGGCAACATGTTATAATTGATACTCTGCACCTACAGTGGGTTGTTTTGTGTCAATACTCCTGCTTTTCAGAATATTTAAAGTGTCTTGGAAACCTGACAAGGTAAATTGGCTAATGATTATTCAGCATCCTTTTGAGTGAATCAAGTTCTTGTGGAAGATGGAATGCTATGACATGGCAGTCCAAAGCACTGAGTTACTCTCCAAGAAGAAATGAAGGGCACATTCTATGCTAAAAACTGGCTTTTATTATATGTTGGTGAATCTTTTTTATTATATGTTGGTGAATTTATCTCAGTACAGTGGTTTTAAGTGAGATTTTTTTCTAAATTCCCTCTGGGGCTTGAATTCATCTAAATGAATTCAACCATGTTTTTCTTTCATTCCATCAGACCATGATCATAAATGCCAAATAGCTGTGTTCTTTCTCCATTCAAAGTGCCCTGGTACTGTGTGCATGCATCTTCATTCTGTCTGGTTAGAGAATGGTAAAGTATCATGAACTTAAGTACTTGTGTACATGTGCATAAATAAGGATTCTTTTTTTTAATGTGGAGGATGGGACTACTTCTTAATATGATGTTTTTAAACATCATATCAATGCTTCATAAAATTGTAGTATGAATATGTACATTAAAAATTCTGTAACACTATTTACAAATAATTTATGTCTCAGGAGGCAGAAGTACAGTGGTGAGAATTTGGCCTGGTGTGAGGAAGGACTTCCTGGAATTGGGCTTGAGATAGCAAGGTTACATGTGCAACAGTCCCCAGAGCTGAAAGGTCCCACTTGCTCAGGAGTCTGAAACTCTCACCTGCTCTGCACCTATTGGTCTTTCTGAGTAGTGTTAAAAGAATCTACATCCCCTTTTCTATCCAGAACTCTTTTAAATGTGTTTTTCCTCCTAAGATGAGTCCAAGCTACAGTCACTCAGCTCTCCTGCAGAGTGTCAGACACTTTTCACTTGCAGCACCTATTGTTTTAAATGCTCTCTCAAAGTCAGCAGCGCCTCCTTGTGGCGGCCTATGAACATGTGGTTGTCAGCCACCAGTAACCGACAGAATTGTCTTCTGCCTCTCTTGCTCCCTCTTCTCTCCCTGTCCTCCATGTCTTGTAAGTTCATGCTTTTCTCTGAGTACCCATAACCTTCCAATGAAAATGAGGTTGTGGACGGTGCATACAGTGTTGGTCCATGAAAAAGAGCTGTGAGGCAACACAGTGCAAGAATGAAAGATAAGGAAGCAGTTTGTACCAATGCTTTGTGGTTGAGCACGTATAACTCACTGTTCTGATGAACTGCTGTTAAAAAATGATCCCCTTTAAAAAGCCCAAGGACCAAAATGAAGTGAAGCATTTCCTGGGGCTGTCCACACATCAGGATCACTGGCAATCTGCACTCTTCCTGGAAGTGAGTCATGCTGGAGGAACCAAACCCCAGATGGTGGGCCTCAGCTCGAATTTCTTAATAGCAATTAGAGAGGCCATTGAGTAGGCAGGTGGAAGTCTTTGAGTGGAGTTAGCATCCTGTGTCTCACTTCTTTTTATACTTTTTCTATGGTTTTCTGATTAAATGGGTTTTTGAAGAATCCCTAGCAACACAATAGTAAAAATGTTGTTGCATTGCCCCTGAATTTTCATTTTATGATATGCACCAAGAAGTGACTGAAGCCCGACTTACTGGTCCTGTCATTTGTCTGCTAATTTTGTTGCCATAAATCTATGGTAGAAATAACTCACATTCTACAGAAATGAGTAAAATGAACAAAAAATGCAGAAAAGAAGATGATGTTTGATAAATGGAACTTTTCCCAACCTGGAGTTTCATACAATGCCCCAAAGCTGAATACAATGGTAAGTGTCCACTGGTTCTAAAGAGACATGCTAGACCATTAACACAGAGCTTAATAAAGGATGAACCCCAAACTACTTCTGCCATCCATGGTTCCTCACCCCTCTTCAGCTTATGTAGGCAAGAGTGAAAGAATGTTATTAGAGTTCTAGAAATTCCTTCCTGCCCCTCCTCAAGGCAGGTGGAGGAGGACATTGAGAGAACCATTTAGAGAGATGGACAGGTCACTCTGTCTGGAATGGTGCCTGACTCTTCCTGGAAAACTCAATAATCAAGAAGCCAGCTACAGCTGTAAAAGACTGCCTATAATGGCAATGGGACAGGTTGCAGAGGGAGCAGCCCCTTCTTCTGGGGCTTACGTGGGAGCAGAGCTGCTAGGTTTTTCCCATGGCCTACATACATATCAAGCACGTAGGTAGGCATCAGTTGTCTTGGAAAGACCCTGCCCTGTGGGTGAGGTGACCCAGCAGAGAAAGTCTATGTGACACTTGCCACTAAAAGCAGGACAACTATCCTGTCAACCAGACAGAGCATCATCTGAACCAGCAAATGGATGAGGATGGGGCCCCCAGCAAACATCCAGCCTGGCCACTGGGAGTTTTAGAAGTTCACTTGATGATTCTAATATGTAGCAAAGGTTGAGAAACACTAACATAGGTAGGTCACCCTACAATGGATAAAATTAAAAGGACTGACAATCCAAATATTAGTGGGCATATAAAGCAATTCAAACTAATACCTCGATGATTAGAGTATCAACTGGAACCACCACTTTGGAAAACTGTTTGGTAATGTTGGCTAAAATAAACATACACCTACCCTATCACTCAACAATTCCATCCCAAGGTATATAATCGAAAATAAGTGTATATATCCACCAAATGACAAAATAAAAATGTTCATAGCAGCTTTATCCATAATAGTCCACTGAAAACAACTCAAATTTCCGTTAACAGTAAAATGGATGTATTATGGAAGATGTATACAGACCAATACTACACAGAATAAAAAGTCACAACGGAGTGAATTCCATTGACATAAGATTGAGTGAAAGAAGCTAAATACAAACTGGTACATACACTAAGAGTCCATACTGATCTATCCCAAAGAGATAAAACTAAGCTATGGAGAAAAAGGTCAGATGGAAGTTGCCTTGGGTGGTAGGAGGGGAAGACAGAGGAAGCCCTGTAGAGGATATGTTTATATCTTAATCTAGGTGATGAATAACTGGATATATATCTAATTTTACCAAGATGTAACATGGATTTGTGTGCTTTACTATGTTTAAGTTATTCCTCAACAAAGGTGAACTAAAACACAACTTAAGCATCTATCTATGATAATTAAATGTAAAAGGCTATACCAATGAAGGAAGTTCCTACACAATTTTTTAAAGTGAAGAATCCTTAATCTAGGAGGGAAAAAATGGTTTTAAATCAGAAATCCAGTCTCCCTCCCTACCCTACCCCCACCAATCCTGCCCAGCTTGAAGAAAGGCTGGATTCTGTGTTTAACAAAAGCTCTCCTAGATGCTTAGTGTATACCCTCCCTCCCCTG